AACAGCATTTGGTGCGTAGGTTAGTAATTCTGATCCCGCAAACATTACTATATAAAGAATTCATGTATTTTTTTGGTTTAATTCAGCAAAATAATCCTACCGACCGACCGGATCGAACATTATCGTGTCTTTTGTGCTTAAGACAATTATTGTAATATTTCAAAGCATTAGATATGAGTTTTACCAAAACTTAGCTCATTAACGTTTAGCAAAAAGGGCCATTATAATGTGAGTTTTCCAGCCGTAAAGATAAAAAGGTGGACCTTATTGCTTAGCTACAAACAAACCTGCTTTGTACCGCGATCTAACCTATCCTACATCACATGCAGTGCTACAACACCATGCAACAACGAGTTTTATCCTTATTACAACATTTTACCCTTTTTCTCTAACTTGTTTGTTTTAAAGATTGCTTTTTTAATGAATTTTATAATATACATCCTTAGATATCAACGAATGCTGGTCGCCTGACATATGTCAACCAAACGCTTATTGCATTAATTATCAAGGATCTTACCGATGCGCATGTAATGACGGGTATGCTGGAAATGGAACTGTTTGCCAAGGTTTGTAATTACCTCGGCTTCACAGAGCAATAATATAAAATTATACACATAAACAATAATAAGAGGGACGCACAGAAAATTTTTTGGCCCTGGGCAAATGTTTCTTTTAAAACGCCAATCCACAGCAAATCAGAAAAATAGTATTTTGAGTGAACACATTTTTACAGTTTGGTTTTTGAATTCATACTGCTTGAAAAAATGTTTGAGGCTTAAAGCATGGCAGATAGTGGTGTAGCCAGCTTGATGATTTTGTCCGCTATGTAAACTTTGAGCAAGTAAGTATAATTATTCATGTCCTTAAAATTGTTTGTTTTCAAAGCCAACTGATGAACACCAAAATATTAGCATAGCGGAACAAATCGTCAGCCTGGCTACGCTACTGATAGCAGATGCGGGATAAAATTTAAGTTACGTTGAAAGGGGGATAAGAAATAGGAGATAAGATTTAAGTTACATTCAAAAGTGACAATGTTAATTATAATAAAATTGCATCACTTCAACTATGAAAGTCCGAACCCTCTCTCCAAGTTGACCATTCCCCCCCCCCCCCGCGTAGGCGGCTATGTGTAATAATGATTTCAAATTTTTAAAAGCAGATTGTTGAAAGTAAAAGTACTAATTCTGAAATTGAACTTTCGTACTCTCTCGAATCGGTGTATGTATCGATTTTAGTGTTCTCATCTACAGGTTGAAAGAAGAAGTTTAAACAGGTGTTACTGAAACGTTCAAATCTCTTTAAGTGATTTTGTCTGATTGCCGGAGTTCCCCGTTACCCGAATGAGTGAGTCTACTAGACGTGACACTTGAAACCTCAAGAAAACAAGTCGAACTCGAGACTATTATAAAAATGAATTTACAGCTCTAGGCTTAGCTCAACATATAGGTGAATATCCAGTATGAACATAAATTCAAACTTCTTTATCTTGTATTTATAGACATCGATGAATGTTCTCAGTCTACTGCCAGGTGTCCTTCAGTCGACGAATATTGCTCCAACATCCCAGGATCATTTCTATGCTGTATTGGCGAACCTGGTCGAAACGAATCGACTTGCAAAGGTAAATAAAACCTTCCAATACATCGTGTTAAAATGTGATGCATGAACATTTCCAACACGACCGAAGCTATAGCCCAATAATTAGGTCAGTGGTTTAATATTCATATCATATTATTCTGTTTTGCCCGACGTAAATTTATATATAGGTAGAAAGGAAATAAGTACGAAATAAAGAATAAGATGCTTCATAAACAAGACAAGAGAGTCTTGGGAGAATCTGGCAAAATAACAACATTTTCAAGCATGCATCTATGAAGCATTATTTATAAACGTAAAAGCTTTGAAACCTCTAAAGACCGTGTTACACGTGCAATTTTTCTCGCAACTTGCAATGCAATCTTACTTACGTACAGACTATTCAAAATGTACTATAAGTGTACGACACGTACATGGAGTTTGTAATAAACATTAAAATTTCGTAGTGGCCAAATTTACATCTCTCAAAAGCGGAATTTGCATTGCAAGTTGCAAGAAAAATTGCACCGTGTAACAGAGCCTTTAGAAAGGTCACATTTTGCATCGCATTATGCATGATTGACTTGCTTAAATGTTGCCACTTATCATAATTTATTACGTCAAGGTTTCTTGCTTAATTTGAAGTTTTACTTCCATGCTATAGAGCATGCATGACACATATAGAAGACGGGTTAGACATCTTGACGAATTATTAATCGTCTTGTGGCTAAGTGTGACTACTGCCGACTAGTATAAATACGAGATGAACATAAACACGTGCAAAAAAATCATTTGCTCTATTTTCCGAGAAATGTTTGGACCCACATAATCGTCTGGATGGCCCCGCCTTTGTGCACAAAATGCGTTCATTTTATGATCAATAGTCGGCCATTATAACAAATGCGGCAAACAGAGTTGGATCTTGTGTGGTTTCGGTGAGCGAGGGAGGCTACCTGCTGAGGAGTTAATCAAACACCAGCTGTTTATTCTAAAAATTATTTATAAACATTCATCTAAGTTGATGATAAGGTGCGACATCAGCTGTTGGAGCCCCGGAGGGAGCCTAGGGGGACTCTAAACTTATGAAAACATGTACAGAAAAATATCCTAAATCGGGTACAAATTTCTTATGTATCATAAGCTATTTTACTGAAATTTACTACAATGAAAACTTTATGTATTGTGAACAAGGAAATATTTCGAAAATTTAAAAATAGCGACAAGGAAATACTTTTGGGAATTTTGTGCTGTCTTGTGATTTCGATGTAATGTTGGGCCTTACTGATATTTAAAACATTCCTCAAATCACTTGAACTTCTTTACAGAACCCTCTATAAAGTTAAAAGGTTCGATAATTTCAAAAAATACTGGCCGTGTTGAAGTATTCCATGATGGACAATGGGGAAGAATCTGTGGTAAAAATTGGGATATAAGAGAAGCCCAAGTGGCATGTCGTCAACTTGGTTTCCCTGGTGCTATTCGAGCATTGTCCCCTCGTGAAGTACCCCGTGGCTACGGAAAAATATGGTTAGACAAGCTTGATTGTACTGGTCGTGAGACTCATTTATCTAGTTGTTCTGGTATTGACTGGAGAGATCATAACTGCCACTATTATAGAGTTGCTGGAGTAGAATGTGCCTTAAGAGGTTAGATTAACAATCAGGGCCGGTTGTATCAAGCCCGTTCAGCTTAATCGTGGTTAAGTTCAAGATAAAGAGCAAGTCTATGGTTTTATTCAAGAAGCAAACTGAATGTTTCTAACCTTAATACAAATACACTGTTTACAACTACATATTCAGTGCATAGTATTCAAGTTGATTCATTGAAGAAAGATGTAAGCGTGTTATCTAAATTTGACTTATCCACCGTTTAAGCTAAACGGGCTTGATACAACCGGCCTCTGTTATATAACTTGTTATATAACTTATAGCTAATGCCACTTACTGTCACCATATTTACAGTGCTCGTAACTATACATTGTTTTTGGTCTGGTCGCTGGTCTTTTAATTTAATATCGCACATATAAGTAGTAATTCTTCCCACACATCTCAATATTTGAAATATTTGACCTCGGCTACTCGTTTAAAACAAGTCATTTTGTTTTCTGCGATTAGTAGTGACGAATTTCAGTCTTTCATACAATCTGATTGGCTGTAGCACCGTGCGCTGGGTATATCATAGTTTCGAATCTCGTATTCAAGGCTCGTGTTCGACTTTGTCTCAATTACCATTTACCGATTTTAATTTCTAACTTTTCCACGACCTCAATCAGCGGTGTTACCTGGTGGTTAATGAGATAGTTCAGTTTTGATTTGGCGGTTGACTAGTACTCGAGGAAGGATCTCAGTGAATAGTGATCGCGGAATTCATTCAAGGGTTAAGCCCTGGTGAAGGGAAAATGAGAGTTGATGAGAGTTGAGAAGCGAGAGTTCGCACGAGAGTTTTCCAAACATTTTGCACTATTGTTCTGTCACTAGTCAGAGTCTAGTCTGCTACGAAATGCAAACCGCTGGCGCTTTTGCAACTCTCATCAACTCTCATGACCGATCAAACGCGCCCAAACTCTCATCAACTCTCATCAACTCTCATCAAAATTTGAACCAGTTCAAAGTCGATGAGAGTTGATGAGAGTGCACGAGAGTGTATGAGAGTTCGCGGTCAAACGCAAGCGAGAGTTGCAACTCTCATCAACTCACATCAACTATCATTCTCGTTTGACCAGGGCTTTATAAAATGCTCAATTAAAACCATTTTATATTTCTTATGTCCGTTTCAATATTACATTGCTTTCAATATAATTTTATTGCTTTTGTTATCTGATATATGTCTTACAGCGCATTGCTTTCTTTTATTTCATTGATTATTATTATTTATATTCCTTTCAACATTTTATATTTTTTATTAATATATTGCTTCCTTATTTGGCTTTCAAAATTTTACATCACATTCAACATTGTTTTTAGGTGTTGATTATTGTTCCAGCGGATTACACAGCTGTCATAGAAATGCTGAGTGTATTACAACTCTTGGTGGTGGCTTCTTATGCAAATGTAATCAAGGTTATACTGGAACTGGCTTTTCTTGCAATGGTTTGTAATGCATGTATACTTCCACCGAATAATCGTTCATGCATGATTGCAAAAAAAGTATAAAACGCGTAAAATCTAACTGAAAAATACTTCAAAGACTGAGCCTTAAAGAAATCAAAATTTTATATATTGGAATGTAGAAAAGGTTTAAATTGTAAATATACAGGAAACTGAAGCTATATATTACTCAGTTATGGCCGTCTTGTCTCGATGATAAGATATTTCAGACGAAGATGTGCAAACATTAGCGACTGTTTTGATGTCACGTTCACGTCGTAGATTTCGTGGTCTTAAGCTCACTACCCTGCAAATGCAAACATGCTTAAATGAGATAATTTATGTTCAATCATAACATGTAGAATGTTTAAGAGTATAAGAAGAAATCGCTTCTAAATGTTGTGCGCAAAGCAAAGCTAGTCTAAACTTTTCGTTGTGTTAAGTGGCAGATTTATTAACTTTAACCTAGACATCAATGAATGCTCATCACCTCACATCTGTCATTCAAACGCTTCATGCACTAACACTCCTGGAACTTACCGATGCACATGTAAAAGTGGATTCATTGGAAATGGAACTTTTTGTGAAGGTATTTTTTCACCTCGACTTTTCAGAAAAATAATCATTTTCAAGCTAGACTATATACAGTAATCTGTGTGTAGTTACCGCGACGTTTTAAAAAATGTAAAGACTAAACACGATGAGGAGGAAAATTTTATAATCATTTAATATTCTAATAATAATTTTCCAAATGCTTCTTAGATTATGATGAGTGTTCCCATTCCGCGCACTACTGTCCTTCAATTGAAACTTGCAGAAACATTGTTGGCTCGCATGAATGTTGCTTTAGACAATCTGATGGAAGTAATGTTACTTGCCAAGGTAAATAAATCAAAGGCATAGAATTATACCCTTCGAATAAGCAAATGTGCTCCATAGTGATAAAATTTATAACCTTTTGCACTTAAGAAGCAAAATGAATTTAGAGAAAAGTGAATTTTGACTTTTTCAGCATTACTCGCGTTTAACATAAGAAAAAAGATTTGTGCAAATTTATATTAATTTTGCATATTATACTGGCTGAGAAAGTGCGTACGCCGCAGGTGGCAGCAGGGTCAACTCCTTTTTACCAGCAGTGGATTTCATTTTAACCATTGCATTCAGTCTATACCTTAATTCCAATGAGCATCAAGAATAACACTATCGTCTGGTGAAAATTTATCAAAATTCAACAGACAATGTTTTCCAAGCGTGTAAATTGCGCAGAAATGCCTTTTCACCCATCTACCCCTCTTTAACTTTGCATAGTTCCGGGGTCTCCGTGAGAGAAAAAACCCGGTATGATCTGTGTAGGACTTCTCGGACAGTCAAACCCTTGACGATCTACCGAGTTCTGAGATATATTTTTGTGTTCTTTTGTGTGTGTACATCTAAAGTGAGACGTGGTATGCGGCTTCTACAAAATTAATTGTCAATCTTAATTTTTCAGAGATGACTGTCAGATTACAAGGACCGTCAAGTTTCAATGGCACTGGTCGTGTAGAAGTGCGCCATAACGGACAATGGGGGACAATATGTGATCATAATTGGGACATAAACGATGCTCGAGTAGTCTGTCGTCAACTTGGTTATTCGAGTGCGCTCAGAGCTCTTCGAGGAGGGCAAGTTCCTTCTGGTTCAGGACAGATTTGGTTGGACGAAGTTGGTTGTACAGGGAATGAACAAAATTTAGAGAGTTGTCCTCGCACTTCGGGTGGGGAGTCATCTGCAGTCATTCTGAAGACGCTGGAGTGCAATGTTCTTCTGAAGGTAAAAAATAATTTAACATCTAGGGTAAAATTAATGTAAAAATCATTAAAAGTAAAAGTATCATGGCAGAATTTCTTGCTTTTAAGTGGGGTAAAAGAGTTTATCTTGACAGATATGTTTGCAAGATAACTGATCTAATATTACAGATACTGTAAATATTTTTAAAATCCATTTTAATGTCGGTGGATCGTGATCAAAAGATTCGTGTTATTGAATCACGTTCAGGTAGAACCATAACGCATTCCCATTGGCGTTAGTTACAATGACCTATCTTCTACAACAGGGTTACGCTACATGGGGGAACAAAATTATTAGTTATAACAAGTTATTCTGAGTGAAAAATGAGTTTTAAGAATGTCAACTTCCCATAGTTGGAACACTACACAACCCAATGATTGAAAAGGATTTTTTTTAAATAGGTAACAAATCAAATTTGAATCTGTAATGATGAAATTGTTTTTGTTTAGCTTTAAAAATGTTTGCCTAGTTGCTGGAAGAATTAAAAATTGACAAAATAATAATAGTTTATTACAAAATCTATCGCTAATACTCGTTTATCGCACAAAGACAAAAGTGTTTATGCTCTGTCCTCGAATTTTGCCATGTTCGCTTTTTTATTTTTTGAGATATCGTTTTGAAAAGGGGAATAATAATTTTCGGTCACTAAGAGAAACTATAATACAGGTTTTGCATATCTTCATGAAATATAGAGAACAATACAATAGAACAATGAAACAATAGAATAAACCAATCGAACACTTTTGTTTGCTAGGGTAAAACCCTAATTATTAACATTTTGTTAAATTATATAGCTTTCTTTATATATTTTGAAGAGAAAAGATACCTAGGATCGATTAGGAAAAGTTTTAGATTATACCCTTTAAATTTTTCATAACAGTATAAATTATAAATCTGTTGTAGTGTACCCCTTACACTAGAACTAGTTACGTCGCTGTAGAGCATTGAATCCTCTTTTTCCCTCTCTTTTAACAAATTGGAACTATTGAAAAAAATCGCGACTGTCTGGCGATTGTCTGCGCTATTTATAATTTTAAATTTGCCGTCCATATAGATGTTGATTATTGTACATTGGGGCTGGACAACTGTCACAGTCGAGCTCGATGCATTAATGAAACTGATGGTTTTTCATGCAGATGTAATCCAGGCTATACCGGCAACGGTGTTTTTTGCAATGGTTAGTAACACTTATGTATAGTTTCTAAGTTAACTAAGTGACAAAAATAAATATCCACCACTAGTAGCATTATATTTCTAATATTTTTAATTATAAGCCCTACTTATAAAAAAAAACTAAATGAGTTTTTCTCCAATATAATGGACCACTTGCGCTTTAGATTAATTTTTGATCGAAGTAACCAGAAGAAAATAAATCACCACAGCTACATGCAAAGACCTTACTTAAATTAGTGCAAATGCAAAGTTTGGCTGGGAAATGTTGTAAAATAAGGAAAATATAGCCATGCGAAGTGGCAAATTTTGTATACTTTTGTATTACGTGCAGAAATGTGTAACTAAATTAATTATAAACTTCTGACCGTAATACAAAGGTATACAAAATTCGTCAACTTCGCATTGCAATATTTTCCGTAATTTACAACAACTCCCAGCCAAACTTGGCAATCTTTTTAATATTAGTAAGCTCTTTCAGAAAATGTCGTAAATTTCGAAAACGTCCTGTATTCAAATGACTAAAATTACCCGACAATAACCAGATAAGCAAAGGTGCAGATAGGTATCGGCATCCCTAATGACAGATATTAGAAATGATCTGTAGTGGTTACTTGCATCATTAATTTTCTTTAAAGTTTTCTTCAGTGACAGAACACAGTTTTTGATGATTTAATCATGGAATATTTATGTTTTGACGTTCTAGGTTTCTTTGAATATTTTTCATCATTGTCAGACTTATATTCATCTTAGATATTAATGAATGTTCATTTCCAAACGCCTGCCATTCCAACGCTTTTTGCACCAACACTCCTGGATTCTACCGATGCTATTGCAAAAGTGGATTCATTAAAATGGAAGTGTTTGCCAAGGTACTTGTTTACTTTGTTATCAAATAATAGAATTAAGCATTTTATGTTTTGCAAACAAGTCTAATTTTTTTTATTACCTGTTCATATAAAAGTAAATCAACTTTCTCTTTAGATATTGATGAATGTTCTGATACAATTTATAACTGTCCTAAAAACGCAAACTGTACCAATACAGTTGGAACTTATCTTTGTTGCGAAGATTTGATTTGTAAAGGTAATTGAAACAATTTATATATATACGAATGGTTTGATATGGCGTTGAGAATATTTTTCTTTAAATTTATGGCCAGTAGGTAAAAACTTTGCATGGAAAATAATAACGATCGATGTTGATCTAGGATGGGTTTTGAAAAAAAAAGCCATGTCTGCAGACACCTACAAAAGAATTCTAAACTCTCGCTAATTTCATGTTTTGTAAAAGTTTTCGTGTTTTTTAAATACACGAAAATTTGTAGTAAAATTATCCATACTATGTCTTCTTTTTGCTATACGTGTTTATCACATATAAGTGTATAGATTAAGATTTTTAAGAGCATTTTATATTTGTAACATTCTATTAGTGAGAGTTCGAAACCTTTATAATATATCAAAGTGACAAGATGGTCGCGTGCGAACGCATCATGGAAATAGGCTAGAAATCTCGTTAAGCCAGATAAATAGAGCCTGAAGTCCGTTTTCTGCTAAAATGGCTTCCTATTATATTTTTCTCTATACTATCGTTAATATAGTATGCGATTGTTTTTTTAATCATGGCACAATTACAGTATACAATAACGCATTCGGCCTCTAATTTCTCCCAATAATTTCGTCCAAATTATTAGAGCCACACATCAGGTTACAAGGTCCGTTAAGTTCAAATGGTACTGGTCGTGTCGAAGTTTTCTATAATAAAAAATGGGGAACAATCTGTGATGATAATTGGGATATAAGAGATGCTCGAGTGGCCTGTCGTCAACTTGGTTATCGGAATGCTCTCAGAGCTCTGGGTAGTGGCCAAGTTCCACCTGGTTCAGGACAAATATGGCTAGATGAGGTTAGATGCACTGGGAATGAGCAAGAACTGTCCAGTTGTTCTTCTCGATGGTGGGGACGCCATGACTGCAGCCATTCTAAAGATGCTGGAGTAGCATGTTCCTCTGGAGGTACGTTTTTTAAAATGAAACTTCATCCGTATGTCACATTTAAAGTTTCGATAAACGTTGGGTCTCCTGAATACATCCAAGAATCTGGTGGGCAAAATTTACCCGGATTTTTTTTTCTTAGTTCTGTCTCTTTAGGATTTGAATTAAAGCATTTATCATCTGCATAGTTGACTAGGAACTTCTCCAATTTGAATCAGTAGAGCATCAATTGCCTGTATAGTCTATAAAAAAATCAGTTATTCGAATCCGTGTAGTTCCTTCACTACTATACTTTAGCTGATTGACGTTGATTAAAGAAATTTCTATTTCTCATCATCTTTCTTGTTTTTGTATACTAAAATTTATGTCTATAGTCAACAATTCCTTATTTTATTCTTGCACAGAGTTTTGTATTTATTATTGTTCACAGCTGTTGATTATTGCTCCATGGAATTTCACAATTGTGGCAGGAATTCCCAATGTATTAACACCAATGGATGGTTTGCATGCTGCTGTAATCAAGGCTATGCGAAAAATGGTGCTGCTTGCAACAGTGAGTAAAATAATATTATAGTTTAATACGATAGAAAAAAACTTCAATTTCAAATGCATACTAGCTGTCGCTTTTCCGAAAGTCGAAATCTCAATGACCTAAAGCCTGTTTTCCACTAGGCGGAATTTTGCTCGCGGAGCGGAATTTTTCTTTGTTTTTCTCACATTAGCTCTGCGTGAAAGCGCGCAGACAATTAAAAATTCCGCTCCGCGGGTAAAATTCCGCCTAGTAGAAAACAGGCTTTACGTAGATCCTAACGTAGATCCTAAGGTACATAACGCTGATTTTAGTTTTAACGTTCTTGATATTTACCTTGTGTCTTTTACGCAAAAATCGCTTCACGCTGAAGTGGAGGACTCAACGTTAGTGAATAAATAGAACAACTCATAAGGATTAACATTAGATAACGTAATAGAAATATTCTTTGAAATTTCGAAATAAATACAGCATGCATGATCGTTTTATGGATACTTTAAACTGTGCTTCAGAAATTTATCGCTGGATCCTCCTCAGCAGTGTTCTCCGGGACTGCCTTAAACAAATTAAGCAATAATGCATGCAGTATAACAACTTTTACTAAAAGCATTCCAAAAGCTAAATCACCCACACTGAAACTCAGTTCTCTTTCATAACGTTTCCATGGCGGTTGACTTTTTTTGGCGGTTGACTTGTTTTTATATCTTTTCATTGTTTAAGAAATAACTTTCTTATTGTTTCACTCAATAAGTGTGAGTGGGATTGAGCTTTTGAGCATTAGCAATGTTTTATTTGCAAATTTATTTCCAGATATCAATGAATGTCTATCATCTTACAACTGTTCATCGGAAGCCTTTTGCACCAATACCCCCGGATCCTATCGATGTACATGCAATAATGGTTACACAGGAAACGGGACTGTCTGTGACGGTGAGCACTTATTTCGAATTCTAAAATAAACCTTGCATGTAAAATCATTGAATAATCTTTCAGTAGAAGTGATAGTTGGATAAACTGAAGACATTCTTCAATTCAGATGTCGATGAATGTTCTCTAAATATATACACCTGTCCTTATCCTTCAAACTGTAAAAACTCTGTTGGATCTTATGAATGCTGTTTCAATGAAAATGGGATTTGTCTACCAGGTACGCCATAGATTAACGTGAATTACAACTAAAATAATATTGCAAACTTCAAGTTTAATACTTTCTGTATGAACATTTTTTTTATTTCAGTTTAAGTGCAAATGTAAATTAATTTTTCAAGATTAATATTTTTATTATAATGACCTGTATCAATCTTGTCCTGTCTATATTTCCAAATTTAATATTCTTTAAACAAACTTTGATTAAAAAAATAAACTGAATTATATCCTGGCGTCTTTTCTTTGCCGTAAAACTTTAGGGAAAGGTATCAGGTTGAAAGGACCATTTAGTTCAAGTGGTGCTGGTCGTGTGGATGTATTCCATAATGGAGATTGGGGAAGAGTATGTAGTGACCGTTGGGATATAAATGATGCTCGTGTTGCATGTCGTCAACTTGGTTACATCGATGCTATTGCAGATATTCGCAGTAACGATGTTTTTAGTCGTAGAAAGATATGGTTGGGTGATGTTAATTGTGCTGGAAATGAGGACAGTGTATTCAGTTGTTCGCATTGGGGCTGGGGGAAACATGACTGCGGCTACAGGGGAGATGCTGGAGTTGCTTGTTTAGTAAAAGGTAAAATTAACACCGGACAATTGCGAATAAACAGGACATCTTGAGAGTCTAAATTAATATGAATCAAGCAAGAAAACGTCACATGCAGGCACAGTTCCTACCTGTGTCTTGATTCATATTTTGACTCTCAAGATGTCCTGTTCCTTCGGAATTTGTTTTTTACTTTACTATGGGTTCTGCTGTATATAATGGTATTGCATGGTCGAGCATAAAATTTTTCGTGATATACTTTTTAATTTCAAAAAAATATTTCACATAAGTCGAATCATAGATTATGATTACAAACTTCTTGAAAAACAAATAACAAATTTGTTGAATAATAAATATATAAAGCTGTAAAAGTTTAAATAATTATAATGACTTCCAGCAAAGTGGTTAGATTAAATTACTGAACATTTTACGGTTCTGTGTTTTTACAGGCTTTGATTACTGCTCATCGGGAATGGTTGATTGTCCTAAAAATGCTCATTGTAAAAACACTGATGCTGGGTTTACATGCTCATGTAACCCAGGCCTAGGCTTTGCCGGAAACAGGTGCCATGGTGAGTAATGTACCTGTAACATATCATCTTTGACACTAGTACCATTTTGAAACTAGTAAACAAAGCGATATCATTTCATGCCCAAATAAAATCTGAAGTTTGAAATCGTCCTAAACTTCACTAAGCAGTTCCATGGAAAAAAATATTTTTGTTAAAATTCCTATTTTTGTTTTTGTGCTCGTATGTGGACATAATTATGGACATTTCTTTTACTCTTATTTCTTACCCTTTCTTACCCTTACCCAAAACAATTGTTAGCGATGGAGGGACATAAGTAGTTAATTGATTTTTTTACCATCAAAGAATGAAAATATTACGAAGAAAAGTGTAAACTAATAAAAATTCGATTCTGCCATCATGTTTCTGGCTCATTAATAATTATTAGCATTGTTGAAATCTACATGCATTATCAAAGAGAATGGACGACTTGCGCTTTCGACTAATTTTTTACCTCGGCGATAAAAAGGACATTTTCTGAAAGATCTTACTTAAATTAGTGTAAATGCAAAGTTTGGCTGCGAAATTTTGTAAAATACCGAAAATATAGCCATGCGAAGTTGTCGATTTTTGTATACTTTTGTATTACGTGCGGAAATGTGTAACTAAATTAGTTACACACTTCCGGTCGTAATACAAAAGTATACAAAATTTGCCAACTTCGCGTGGCTATATTTTCCCTATTTTACAACATTTCGCAGCCAAACTTTGCGTTTGCACTAATTTAAGTAAGATCTTTCTAGCTGTGATGATTTATTTTCTTCTAGTTACTTCCATCAAAAATTAGTCTAAAGCGCAAGTCGCCATTATCATGCATGCGTCTTTTTCGCATTAAAACTAATCCACATGTATCATCCTCTGCATGTGGACCTGTAAATTTATGTATACCTGTTAAGTCTGTTCATGCTGTGTAGTTTTTACCGTGAAATATTTTCAGTGAAATAAATGCGAACTTTTCAATGACTCCCCTCTTGCAGCCCTAAACTTAAGGTAACTTCTAACACTCCTGTCATTCAATAAAAAAGGCGTCTTATTCGTAAATCAACACGTCATTAATTTCATTCGTAGATATCGATGAATGTCGATCCATTTCCTGTGGTTTCAACGGTCGATGCATTAATTCTTTTGGATCTTTTCAATGCATATGCAATGCTGGATACACTGGGACTCTTTGCCAAGGTATGAACCCACAAGGATACTGAAATATTATATCTTCTCTTAACTCAGGTCGTGTATGGGTTGAGCTTACTTGCCATGCGTATATGATGAAATAGTAGCATATAATCGCTAGTGTGGTGTAAATATATTGTTTTTATAGTTACTGCATAATTGCCATTTTTTGCCATGAATTATTTATTACATGTATATGAGTTACATAATTTCATATAACATGCACTTCCATTTAAAATTGAACATTTTCATCAAATTTTCAATTTTAAGCTTACAGGACACATTTAATGGCATTCCGTGGAGAATTGCCACTTAATATAAGTCCATTTTTAATGAAATTTTCACCAAATGCTCGTTGGCATTATGCATGACGAGTATTGTCAAGTTCATGAAAAAAGATAATTATATGAAGTATTCGGGAAAATTTTAAGTTGCGGTACCTTATACGTCTGAATTTTTCTCGGATTGTCTGTATGTTTTGACCACTTTCTGTTTAACCATTTAGATGTTGATGAATGTGCCCTAAGAGGGCACACGTGTGGCAGTAATTCCCAATGTAAAAAAACATTTGGAGGATATTTATGTTTATGTATTCAAGGTTATACAAGAGAAAATGGAAATTGTACTGGTAAGTTCCTAATCGCTAATTCTCTTCTACTTTTCGTAAGTCAAAACGTACCTCTACTTGTCAAATTAATAGCTTTCGTTATCGTGTTGTCGTTTTCGTCCAGGGAAAACCTTCTTCATGGTTGGGCAACAGCTTTAAAGTTTTTTCTCACTTGTTGTTTTTCTATAAAGCCCAAATAGAAAAAAAAATTGGAGCCTTTGTATACTTGTAACCAAATATTTCTTTTCCATCACCTGCTGATTTGTATATACATGCAGAAGATATAACAGTAATCACATCACAACGTGAAAATACATGATCGATTCAATTTTCCGTGTGATGGTGTAACAATAATTTTGCGAATCAGATGCAAACAAGGAAACTGTTATTTTTTCACTAAGCGAAAATTTAAAGTTAAAACCTGTTTGTTTCTACTATTTATCTATAGCCATATATAAAGAAAGTCAAGAGTCTAAGTTTATGTAATTCAATCCTAGATATCAACGAGTGTATAACACTTAACAACTGTGATACGAAAGCCTCTTGCGTTAACACGATTGGATCTTTTTCGTGCATGTGTGATGTGGGATACACTGGAAATGGAACAGTGTGTGAAGGTATATCATGTATAATCATTTTTAGTAAAGTAATTAACTAATGCAAATTCTGGCCATGCCCTAATTAAAAACAATGTCGCATTGTTAGGCGATAAACACGTGCCTAATTGGATTTCATAAAATGGCGCCCAGTCAGTGTATTTGTCAAAATGAAAGCCTAATAAAATAGTTATTTTAAAGAGAATGCTGTACCTAGAAATCAGCAAAAGAAGCAATTGTTGGGGAAGGATGCTGCCGTTGCTAACGGTTGTTAACGTTATTTCGTATAAAGCATCGCTTTATTTGAGATACCGTGAAATTACAAATAACGACACAAAAGATTCCTGGTTGCCAAATCGACTTCTCTCAAAAGTAGAATCGCATTGCATATTGCAAGCAAATCATCATCGTGTAACACGGCCTTTATACGACTTACACCACGTGAAAAATATGTGAAAATATTTCCATGCATGGGATTACAATGATAGCAGCGAGAATTGTAGCTGAAATGGTAGAAAAAATTATGTCCTGAATGTCTTCAGATATAGATGAATGTGCTCTGTCTCCTCACAATTGTCTACAAGGATTAAACTGTACAAACACCGACGGATCTTATCTATGCACATGCGATGATCAACATGCTGGAAATGGATCAACTTGCCAAGGTAGTTTCACAAATTTCATTTTATCATGTAATATTTCTGATCATTTTTTGAACTCCAGGTGCCGCTGAATGATATAAGAAAGGCAATATTAACAATTGGCCATAATACAACGACATTAATATTGGAAAAATTGTGTTTCAATTTGTGTCCAGTACTAAAGCACGTCAAAGCAGCAGCAAGCGATCCTGAAAAATTATCGTCATAGATATTTAACTCCCTGCAGCAATTCATTCTTACCTCCTTTCGTTGAAAGCTAGTGCAAGATGAATATACGTCCTTTACATTTTGCAGTTATTGCTATTCTGGGTGGCGCCATGTTAGAATTTAGGGCCATTGACTTCCGTTAATATTCCGCTGATATCGCAATCACTAGATTTTTCAAAACAACGCGTGGAAAAATATAATTTGTTCCAGTGTTGAGAACTGAGATATCGTGAATAATCTCAAATCTTATTATTGCTTTTCAAAATTGCGGCTCGCCAATAAAACACTGCATATTGCATGTATAATGAAATATAATTATTGGCAGGGGCGGGATGAAGGGACTGTGTCCATCCTGTTATTTTTTGCAAGACTGCTTTCGCAGTTATCTAAAATTCACGTCTGTCGACGCTCCCTGTTTTACAATACAATTATGAATCCTGATGAATTAATGAATTTTTAGTGACTTCCATTGAGAGGACATCTTGTGAATTAGATCCCCTAGCTTAGATACCTCTTTATACTTTTCATTGTAACCATTACGATGTAATTTGTAAAATATAATGCAAATTTATGCATAAATGGCCATCATTTGCTTACTAATTCGTATGGTATTTATTTCAATTTAGCTCAGCCTGGCTACAATACATATCTTGTCAAATCAGTTGACTTTGGATATTTGCACCATTTTACATACCAAAACGTCGATCTTCTTCAATTTTCATGGACTCGTACACCAGCCCATTTTCGTTTCATAAATCGAAACGTTCTGCAGGAATTGAAGACTGGAAAATGTCTTCATATCCCAAAGTCATGGTGGGTTGTTATTCTCACTCACGATTGTGATGGACCAAATGCAAGACCAAGGTGGTTTTACAATTCTACCGGGAAATATTTAAAAGATGTTTCAACGAATGATGATCAGGGTTTGTGCCTTAGTGCTCAGGAATATCATGGCAAACTTAACTTTGAAAGTTTCCCTATTTTGTCAAATTGTGGTAGACGGAAGAGCAAGGTGACACTGGGTTTAGGTGAGTGTCACAAAAACTAATTATTCCATAGGTTACCCGACAATGTGTTTTTTCATAGCATTAATCCATAATTAAGGTTCTTATCCGTTATAATTTGCATTACCTTGCATTACATTGAAATTTTTTAATTATGTGTGCGTGCGCTACTTCATGTAATGCAAATTATAAGGGATCAAAACGCTAGTTGTGGATTAATGGCATGAAGAAACACATTTCCGGGAAATCAAAATTTAAAAAAAATTTTAGAAAAAATGTTATTAGTCAAGCATTTATCTGCTAAAAAAAGTTAAATGAAGAAAGATTATTTATGTGACAAAAAAAAGAGTGCACAAGCGCCGTTTTGTGAGCTTCTAAATGAATATGAATTGCATGTTCACAAGATTTGTGTTGACAGGAGTGGAACGCTGAACCAGGCATCTGATTAACAATTTATATAGTTAGCACCGATCTTGATCTGAAATGTACTCCAAATCTATATTGGAGATTCCAATATAGTAATAATTGTAAATAGAACTCACACATCTACAAACATCGACAAAAACCTAACTGCAAAACTAATTACACCCGCTCTTACTTTAAGGCGCTGTTACATTGTGCAACTTTTTTGAAACTTGCAATGCAATTATAATTTTGAGGGATGTTAATTTGTAGTAAAGAGTGCAGTTAAAAATGCCCCGAAAACGTTATTCATAGAGTATCACCTTGCGTGTATCATATTTCTAACTTAATTGATTATGAAAATAATTATTTCATTCGCACTAATTCGCACAGATTGCTTATAGTAAAGTCGAAACAAGCTGTCTTGAAAAATTGTCGTTGTTTTATGCATATATATGAGTGTTATGACAAAAACAACCGCAATCAACGTCAATCATGACAAAATAAACTGTCTATAATTATCAAAATTTACGTATCAAAATGTATCTATCAAAATGTACGTTCAAAATGTAGGCATATGTTTCAAAATGTATCTATATCAACAGGGCCGTAACTAGAACGATAATTGGGGGGGTCTTTATTCATATATTCAGTTCTGCCCGACGGATTTCTTTTGTAAGTGCAATAGCTCACAATGGAAATCCGTCGGGCAGAACTGAATATATGAATAAACACCCCCCCCAATTATCGTTCTAGTTACGGCCCTGTATATCAAAATGTATGTATCAAAATGTATGCATCAAAATGTTTGTATCAAAATGTATCTATCAAAATGTACGTATCAAAATGTAGGCATGTGTATCAAAATGTATCTATATCAAAATGTATGTATCAAAATGTGTGCATCAAAATGTTTGTATCAAAATGTATCTATCAAAATGTATCTATCAAAATGTATCTATCGAAATGTAGGCATGTGTATCAAAATGTTTGTATCAAAATGTATGTATCAAAATGTATCTATCAAAATGTATCTATCAAAAATGTATCTATCAAAATGTATCCTTATCCTATTATCCTATTAAATTATTCTTATCCTAGATATCGATGAATGTTTTTTGAAAATGGACAACTGCGACAAAAATTCCAGGTGTATCAACACTGTTGGTGGTTTTTCATGCGAGTGTAATCAAGGTTATACTGGAAGTGGCACTTATTGCTTTGGTAAGTCGTCTTTTAAGGTTTTTGTGACAACCGCGTAAGCGGTAGCCACTATGTCAGAGGCTTGCTTGCTTGCTTGCTCGCTTGCTTGCTCGCTTGCTCGCTTGCTCGCTTGCTCGCTTGCTCGCTTGCTCGCTTGCTCGCTTGCTCGCTTGCTCGCTTGCTCGCTTGCTCGCTTGCTCGCTTGCTCGCTTGCTCGCTTGCTCGCTTGCTCGCTTGCTCGCTTGCTCGCTTGCTCGCTTGCTCGCTTGCTCGCTTGCTCGCTTGCTCGCTTGCTCGCTTGCTCGCTTGCTCGCTTGCTTGCTCGCTTGCTCGCTTGCTTGCTTGCTTGCTTGCTTGCTTGCTTGCTTGCTTGCTTGCTTGCTTGCTCGCTTGCTCGCTTGCTTGCTTGCTTGCTTGCTTGCTCGCTTGCTTGCTTGCTTGCTTTCTTAAATGCTTGTCTTGGACAATGACGTCACACTCAGCACTACGTCACACAACTGATGTACGTCACACTCGGCAGTTTTCGCCATTTATCGCCAACCTTTCCGGTGCAATCAAATATGCAATTCAAATACAAATTATTTTAGTATCAACACAGCTTTTCTATATGTACGTTGTTTTGCTTACATTTTTGAGCTGTTTGAACTTTGCACGTCTTCCTCATATATAATAATCAATATTTAAACGACACATTATGGTCTTCTACAGTATTTAGACGACACCTGCAGACCGCCGACAGCAGGCGATTTGTTTGTCTATAGACGATTTGTTCGTCTTCTGATGTGAAAACGGCTAATATATCGCTCACATTTTATGAAATTTGGAGTTAATCAATACGGCAGATGCGTTGCAAAACCAAATGCAATTTCTATAGTTTAATAGTAACATATAATATTTGTAGATGTGAATGCTGTCTGCTGAAACTTTAGCATATAGCTCACATGCACAATCAGTTTCTGTAAACATAAGTAGAGGCAGGAACGTAAAATAAAAGGCTGTGTCATTCTACCTAAAATTATGCTTCGGCCGAAGAGGTCTGAACGTGATCCCAATTATTTTATATATCGTCACGCATCGTCTTCATCAGCATCAACTTTACTGTCATCATTGAATATGATCAATGAATGTGGTAATTATTGGCATGGTGAGTAAAATAGCCTGCTCATTTGGGAAAGAATGAGCCCCTTTATTAATCATCAGCAATGGAGAGTGATAATATATGCCAATCCTCACTGATCCATTGTATTCTTCTCTGACTGCACGACAAAGGATTTTATACATGCACCAATGACCTCCGGTAATGACATAGCCCATTCTTTGGACTACAGTAGTGTCAACCACGCGCTTTAGTATAAGAAGTCACACCCAGTTTACCCTGCTGATTCAGTGAATCAGTTTAATCAGACGATATTCATGGCTTCGCGAAGAAATAATCCGGCTGTAATTGGCTGCATCCACAACCTGTCACCTTTGAAAAAAGGTGAAAAAAACTGAATGGTGCGACTTCGAACTCCAAATGCAAAACAAACGGGTACAACTATTAGCACTAGCTATTCTGCCACCTAAATCCATGATACAACTCAGATGACAAGGACAGAGCGGTAGTCACATGTACGCGCTGCGTACCTATTTTTTCCTATTACAATACAATAATTATAAAGCAATAATTATTAAACAAAGTTTTCAATATTAGTTGGCAAAGATACATTCTCATCTTAATTATAATCCATGCACCGTTTGTGTGATTTAAACCTAACCAGTAGCGTAGCCAGCCTGACGATTTGTCCCGCTATGCTAATATTCTGGTGATCATTGACAGCGAAAACCATCAATTTCTAAGGAAATGAATAATTATAATAACTCGAAATTTACATAGCGGGACAAAATTGTCAGGCTTGCTACGCCATTGAACCTAACCATGGCCGTTAGGGAAAGGGAAAGGGAAATATTGTACCTCAACATCAAAAGCATCCACTGATTGCAACTTGTTTAAGAAAGATACATGCACTTACCTCTAGACACCACCACCACCCATTTATTGTTATAACACATGTTTTTTTAAATCACGCATCTTGCCGCCACAAACGAGACATATAAAACGATTTCCGTTGTTACTGCGTGTTTCATGATTTACCATGGAAATGCTAAACGGCCGAGATAATTTTTTTCCACGAGTAATGAATAACATATTTCATAACACATCCGTTGTAGATATAGACGAATGTTTCCTAACTACCGACAACTGCCTTCCCAATTCAACCTGCAACAACACAGATGGATCTTATGAATGTATTTGTGACGATGAACAACCTGGAAATGGAACTGATTGTAAAGGTAAAGAAAGGTCTTGATTTAATATTGGAATCATATAAAGTCATTCAACAGTTTTTACTGGACCCTTTGACGGAAATGCATCTTCTACTTGTGCCTCGAGAAAGTTCCTACGAACTTTGCTTGTTGAGGGTAAAATTCCCGCGTAGTGCGGTTGGGTCTTTCTTGTGCGTCGGTTTCTCAATATACCACATTCGCAACATACCATGCACAATTTTTATTTGAAGAATAAATGAAGCATGGATCTTGAAAAGTCTTCAGGCCCACGATATATCATTATTGGGAGCGAGGAAGTGTTCAACATATTAAGAATGTAGCCTTAATAGGCTCTTGTAGTCGGACGTATTACACAATTTCATATAGCTTGCCATCGTTTTAAACCTTTGCAAACTCTAAAACCCTCTTAAAATTACAAAAAAAAACACAGTGACTGATAAATTCCTTTACAGGAAAAGATATCAGGTTAAAAGGACCATTAGGTTCAAACGGAACTGGTCGTGTAGAAGTATTCCATAATGGAGAATGGGGAACAGTTTGTGACTATAATTGGAATATACATGATGCTCATGTTGCATGTCATCAACTTGGCTATTTGTATGCTGTTAGAGCTTTTGAAATGAGACGCGTTCCCTCTCGCCCCAGGCGGATTTGGTTAGACGACGTTGATTGTGCTGGGTATGAGCAAAATCTGTTTAGTTGTGCTCACGAAATTCGAGAATTTGGCGTTCATGGCCGCACCTGTGAAAAAGATGCTGCAGTAGAATGTACTTCAAACGGTGTGTAATTAATATGAAGAGCGAGTTGACTTTACAATATGATTTATAGTTTCGGTCGAAAATTTATAGTTTCGGTTTTTTTGCTCATTTGTGCAAATTATTCATCGAATGGTGCAAAAATTAACATTTTCTCTAATACTCTGGTTGGATTATTTAACACAGATATAGATGAATGTTTCAATGCTTCTGAATACTGTGGCCTTACTGCTAAATGCATTAACACTTGGGGAAGTTTCATATGTCAATGTAAGGCTGGTTATACTGGAAATGGTTTGTTCTGCAATGGTAGGTTTTTGCAATTCTTAGCATGAGGTATAATAAGTACATTAATGAACTTTTTTCCATTGATCATTATTACTAGCAGAAAAAGAAATTCTTCACCGGAAATCAGGATTTCCGAACTTTGCTTACATTATTATTGGTCTAATTTTACTACTTGGAATAATACTGCTGGTAATATTGATACGAAGACGACGTAGACGATCACAAAGAACATTCCATGATAATGAAAACTTGCAGTTGGTTTCAAAAGAAGATTTACATTCTGGAATTGGTGACGACAATAAGAATCAAGGATCAGCTGTTAGCAAAACTGTCAAAGCAAGTGATGAAAGATGTGAGCTAATAGATCAAGATGAACTCAATAAAGTCACTGAATGCTAGAGCATTTGAGGTTTTGAAAAAGTGATTATTGACAACAGTCATTTTACAATTCATTATGCATGTTTAGCTATAATAAGTCTAGTAATTTTTTTTTTAGTTTACTTTTTAGTACAACTCAGCTTGTTATCGTAGTTTCTAATTTCTAGAAAATTATACTTTTCAAATTTAGTCAAATAAATAATCCGTAGTTTTAGGAGCCTGAAATCAGATAGAGAAAGAAACTGTTTGTGAAAACAAGCATATAATTATGCACTTTGCGGACAGGATGCTTTAATTTTCAGCTTCGTACCATGACAATAAACTGCTTGATAATTCTTTACATGTTTATCATGTCTAAGTTTATTTAAAAATTGTCGGTAAAATAAAGCTTTCATTTACAAAAATCCCACGTGTTTCATGAGATTATAACTCCAAAATTAATATAATTTAGGATCAGTAAGATATATATAGCACTGGTTGAAATTCAGCCTTTTCGCAGGTAGGAATTGCCTGACGAAAGGCCCATTATGAGGAAGAGCCAGAAATTTGAACACTTGTGAGAAAGAATATTGGTTGATTATTGCGAATATGTCAATTGCATCCTACAATGAAAACTTGCAGTTGTTTAAAAACAATTTTCAGCTTGGAATTGATGATGACAAAAAAAGCAGGGATCAGCTTTTAGCAAATCTTTGAGTTCCAATAATGAAAATTGTGATCGATTAGTTCAGGATGAACTCAATGATGTCACTGAATGCTAGAGCAATTGAGGTTATGAAAAAGCGATCGCTGATAAATGTCATTTTCGGATGAGATTTAAAAAAGTAAGGATTTGTTATACTTGAGAAAGAGTATTGTACATTAGTTTTGTTTTGGTTACTTCTTAGTATACTTCTTAGTAGAACTGAATTTGTAATCGTATAGTTGCACCTTTTTATCACATTGACGCAGGTGAACAATCGATTCCCCCAGCAATAAACTGTTTTAAACATGGCGGGAAATAAGAAGTGAAAACCTGAGAATAAATTCTGTTTAAAATAAAAAAGAAACGTTTTGTCTTGTTTTTTCTGCATTTTTTAATGTAAAAAGCTATTTACCATGTTTATGCTGAAAGTTTTATTACGACCTTTTGTCGTCACAGTGAATTATCGATCAATAGTACCATTATAAACCTATGTTTCATCATCCTCGGATTTTTACTAAATTCTCTTCATGAATTATACCTGTTTTCGAAATACGTATAGGTATATTTTTTAAGCTGTTACTTAAAAAAACTATGTTCCAATTATATAATATTTCTTGGCATTTCCAAACCCATGGGCTAATGCCATCAAGAAACGATTTGTGGAGCCACAGAGATACAGCCCATTCAGATTAAAATCATGACAGCATTTGTACCAACGTAACCTTTGTATCTTTTGGCACTTTTGTAAATCGGTAAATTATCATCACGATCTCTGTTCCAAAAAACGCCCTGCCTTTTGTAGAGAGAGTGTTTTCAAGTGATATCAAGGATTATCTTGCCTCAGTTAGGTTAATAATTATAAATTTCTTCGTATCATGTTTAACCTTATTCAAAAATTATTGTTGATTATAATGTTTGGTAAAACGCAGCTTTAATCTACACGAAAAAACATCTGCCCCTTGAAATCCTGCCCGCATGGTAGGAAATGCCTGAGCGAAAGTGCCTGATTATTTACATACTCCATTATGCCTTTCGAGCTTTGACCATGACGGGAGGAAAATTCGAATATTTGTGCGAAATAATCTTGGTTGAATATTGCTTGAATAAGTCAATACAATCCTAACTTTTACTTTATACAGTAACGATAAAGATTCACACGTCTAGGGATGGTCCTTTAATGAGAAATGAGTACGATAGCGGCGAAAATTGTCGGGATTTTAGGTGAGTTCTGTGTCCATGATGTATAAAATTATGTCAACATATGAGTGTACTTGCATGCTTATGCTTATATGAAGTATAAAGGTTCTTTGTTTTCCTATTATATATCATGAATGTTTATCGTGGAATGATTTTTGCTATAATTCTCTTAAAACTATTCTGTTAATTAAATCTATTTAATACTTGAACCAACCTGTCGAAGTGTCTTTATAGGGTGGCAAAAATATGCTTTGACTTTCTTTGCAAAGGACTATATAGGTATTAAAAGGAATAATTGGGACACGTACGGTGTGTACACTGTATTGAAATTAGATTTGGAATGAAAGACCAATCAAGATGGGTGATCTAAGTAATAAAGTAACGGCTTGGAGTTGGAGATAAAATGTAGTTATGATAAATATGATAATTCATCACAATTCTTCGGTAAATACTACCAACATGTGTAATATATGTCAGTTATTGGCACTTCTGGGGAACTCGATGCAGAGAAATGCTAAAACGAACGGCATCTATATTTAATTAAATGACGTTATAAGTAAAACCAGGCAACCTAATATGAAAATACTAAGACGGATTATTGTCTTGAGCACGTGCTCAACAATCGCATAATGATTTAATGGTAAGCAGGGGTGCTTCAACATTATCGAAGTTTGTCATCTGTCAACCTCTGGTCAGTTGATTTCCAATTTAAATGACCAGGACAGAAGTATTAAGGAATAATATTTTGTGGGAATAGAGCACTATTAGGGGGGTTGAGCCGTCCAAGGCATCCTCCCCCCAAAAAAATTTCAATGTTTAGAATGCAGCAAATTTCATTTCCTGCGTTTTGTGGGTGAGATTTTTACAATATCGGATATAATTTTATTGCATTACCTGAACTAAGAATAAGCCAAATCTTTTCTGAAAGACGACCATACACTATCCAATGATGGTTTAATTTTATTCTTGTAGCAATTTGGGAGCTGGGGAAAATTGTCCTCTTTGCTCTGGGCGGTCCTTTTTTTAATTTCAGATTTATACATCTTTATACATTATAATTACAATAATAACACAAAAATTATCATATTAAATGTTTTTATTCAAGCGTCACTTTCGGTGAAATGGAGCTCAGCGATAGGTCGAGAAGAATTTTTAGCGGTCCATTACTTTCTCGTAATGGACTAGCACTTTCCCGTAGTGGACCGGCGTTACCGGCGATCCATGTCAAGATGAAAAAATGAGAAATTCTGAATAAAAAGGCACAAGAAAAAATTTAACTGCTTTTGAAATTAATAACACATCTCCGAACGGTTTAGGTTCACAAAATAATTCAATTATTATATTAATGTATTAATTATTTTGTTTTTGTTTTTATCAAATGTGTATAACCAGGCTATTGATACGAATTCATGCATTTCTTGTTTGTTTCAAGTGCAAATACATTCCTTATGCCATATGATAAACTTATTAACCTTGCTTGCTCGTTTTTCACCGAGAAATATCGGACCTCGATCTTTTTGTACAAACCTCGCTCTTCGAGCTAGGGCTGTTCAAAAAGACCTCGGTAAGACTTATAATGTATCACACGTGTCTGTGTGGGTAGTTTGGTTGGTTTTCTTTGGCAAATATTTTTAAAATGTCCCCGCATAGTCTAAGTAACTTTGATTTTTCATATTATATATGTCGTTTATAATCTGTTGATAATTCTAAGAATGCTGCCTTACGAAAACACTGCCAACTCGTCAACTTTGCAGCCCAGTGGTCGGATTTTCATTGACGTTGCTTTTAGTGAATAATGATGTCCTTTCCATGACCACCAATTGATACCATTAGCAAACGATTGGTGTGAACCATACAGATACATACCATTTAAATTAGCTTTGTGACAATGCTGGTACCACCATGCACCTTTGAATGACCTGGCACAATTGCCAGGCCATAGATCATTGTCGCGATCTCTGGTCGTAAATGCCATGCTGTTATGTATCGAGAGAGAGTCTCCCGCCGTGCCTGAATAATATAAATAATTACAAATGGCAATATTACAGCAATTAAAAAAAAATTAAAAATCGCACATCACTGTTATGATGCAGTAGAATTTATCCCGATTTAACAAAAAATCTTTACATGAGAGAAAATTGCATTTTCCTGTACATTTCTTTCCAAAATTTTATAAATTTGGAAAATCTAGCTAGAATGGTCAATTATCGAAACACCGTCATCATACTAAATTATTGATGAGCGACACAAGTTTGTATTTAGATAAATTAGCCAGGCCTAAATTATTGTTACTTGTACAAAGTAAAGGTGTCTTGACCTGAAAACAAAATTTACCGATCCAACTGAAAGCACGAAATACAAGAAAAAACCGTGAGATCAATTTAGAAGGCAAAGAAATAATAATGCGATTAAAACTGCTTGTTGTCAAACTTACCACTATACGCTCCAATTTTCAAAGTATAACTCTGCAGCTCGCTTTTAACTTTGAAAAAATCGTAATTTGCATACTTAGTGTTTCCTGAAGTGTCCTCCATATCGATGCGGATTTCATTTTCTGAATTTGATGTAAGCCTATGGATTTTATCTAAGCCAAGCCAGAATTCCCCATTTAAATCACCAAAGCCGTGTTTGTAGTCTTGCCATTCCCTGTAGAAATTGACACTGCCATCAAGACGTCGTTGAAACACCGTCCAGCCCCCTCCTGATGTTTTCATGTCGCAATATACTTCAAAGCTACCATTTCCATCTGCATTTATCTTGTAAACACCGCTTCTCCTTTCTCTGTTTGACGGGTCACTACACCTCTATAAAGATTAGTATATTCAATTTAACTATAATAACAACAAGAACAGCTAGAAATTGTAGTATAACAAAATAGCAATATTGCGTGTAATTTGTTCCTTGTTTCGTTGCGTCCTTAATTCTGTTATTAGCGGATGTAATAGTCGTAAATATGTCTAAACCGGTGGTTGATGTAAAATTCACACCCGAACTTTTTTAAAGTTTTTTTTTAACCTAATAAAATGAAGTTAGACAAAAAAACAAAAGGCATATTCGAAAATGTGGACAAACATGTTTCAATATGTACTCATAATGCTATTTTTTCCAGCCAGAATTAATCTACCTCGATAACTTGGTGAAATATTGTCCAGTCACCTACTCCGATATTCTTTTTTCTGTCTGTTGTGTTTGTAAGTTGACAGTTAACTGCGTCTTTATCGTTAGTTGTTGTCCTGAAATTAAAGCCAGCACAACTTTTTTCTTCGTAGCAAAGGATGTTGCAGTTCACTTGGACATCGTGTTCGAAATGATGACTTGAAATTATCTCTTCAAGAGGTAATGAAGGTCCATCTGGAAGCATACATTTTTTGGTGGTTTAAAACTTTTGTATTATGAGTCGGTGAGATCGTGTTTGCAGATGGCTTCTTTGCTGGATATAAATTAATATTTCTAACATGCAAGCTAGCTTTCAGCTGCTAATCTGCATACGATCTTCAATGGGACTGCTATGAATTATAATTGACAATGATGCATGCGGTCGGAATTATAAACCCATAAGGCACGACTATATGGAGGCAATATTTTTGCTGTTTTTTAAGCGGTCCATGATGCAAAAATCGCAAACTTACTTATTTATTCAATTTTTAAACTGTTTCTTGAGATACCTCTTTACCACTGTAAAACGCTCTATTCCGTATTCTCGATTATTGCTCCAAACTTAAAACAAATGTTTTCGCAAATTCAAAGTAAAAAATGTGCAAATAGAGCATGCATTTATGAACTTTGTAAATGTGCACTTTATATGCAAACTAGCATAAGAAAGACAGTTAAAATTTCAATGATTGAATACCTTTGAAATGCCTTGAGGTTTCAATAATAAAGTTAAAATTAGAATTATAGTTAAATTTTTAAAAAAGGTTACCATTTTTCTAAGGTAAAAAGAATTATATTCAGGTTTCAATCGACAATTTGAATATGGAGCAATTTGAAAGTATATTTTGCAATATATCGCATATAGCTGAAACGATAAAAAGAATATACTGTCAATGTTTCATTAACTTGAATAGTAATTTGATACTAACCACTCAGGATAATTTCATAGTTCCAAATGCCATAACGCTGTGCCTTTACTCTTGAAATCAGGAAGAGTATTATCATAGGTAATATAGTTCTCATCGTTAATGTAAATATACAGGAGAAAAATTCATCGTTCATCTACGTACGAAATTCGTGGCAAATAAGTAACAAACAGAAAAATTAAAATAGACTATTATAAATTTGCAGGTGCCATAATTCGATACCTTGACTAAAAGGCTATTAATAAGTTATTTTAATGCATATATATAAAAATATATATATATATATATATATATATATATATATATATATATATATATATATATATATATATACGTATACTAGCTTATAATTATTTTATGCGTATATAGAAAAATGTTCTCAAAGCATAGTAATTACGTATGTGTCGCCCGCTATCTCTACGTATAAAGTGACTATTCTGTTTCAATGTTATTGCGGCAAGGATTTGGTAAAGTAAATCCCCAGCTATATGATGCACTTAATTTATATTCCCGAGGGAAATAGTGAGTTTTGTTTTCCCAAAAGTCTAAATGTTTCCCGAGATGAAGTCGAGGGAAACATTGCATGAGACTCGAGAGAAAAAAAAACTCACTATTTCCCGAGGTAGTGTATATGAAGATTTTGTTATATAGGAACAAAAACATAGATACATGTTACACAACAATTTCAGTTAAAAAAAAACCTACTTTACTTTGTTATGACAGGAAGCGGGCAACAATTTTTCACCTGTTTGCCTGGCGGGAAACATTGCATTTATTTAAAGTCATGTGACTGCAAATGAACCAATCACATTTAAAATACACAGCACTCCTATATAATAACAAGTAATGTCCCCAGTATGAGGCGAAAACCCGTACTACACGAAAGTGTTGTGAGGTAATATAAGGGAGAAATAAATTACAGTAAATGCTTTTTCATAGTAATGCATTAATACATTGCGTATCTATTTTTAAGGCTCTTTAAACCCTGCCAGGGCGTCTCACAGCGTTTAATGTAGACACGGTCGTCAAAAATCTGCAATTGGATTACACGGCTAAAAACTCTGAGCCTGCGGTTTATCAGCATGTAACAATGTTATGCTGCCATTATTGTTCACACTTGTCAACAACATTGAACAATATTATTGAAACTGAATCGAGTGTGACAATATTGTTCAATGTTGATAACAACTCTGAACAATGTGGGCAGCACAACATTGCTCTATCTTGTTTGTATCAATATTGAATCAACCTGATCGTTTTTAGGCGTGCGGCTACAACAGAAAATTGAGAAACAGCGGTGCTTACTATGAAGAATCAAGAACAGCTGAACGAGCTCGGCATCAACACGCGCACGCGCAGACTTAAGGATCACTAGGTGGGTAAGCTGAATAAGAAAGGATACTTTTTGAAGAATAGGCAAAATATTTTCAGTCTGCCTTCTCTGCAGGAATGGTGAGCGTCAACATGGTTGGTAAAGTTATTATATATTTTTTGCATGAATACTTCAATATTTCGTTGTTGAGTTGATCGCATATCATAAGCTAACCTAATAATTAAAAAACCCATGGGACGTCGACGACAACGTAACGTTTTGCGCAAATAGAAAGTTGCAAGTTCATTGGTATTATTATTTATCTAGGTCATAGGAAGTAGATATTTTACATGTTTTGTTTGTTTCACATGTTTCGCATATTTATATGTTTCGCTTGTGCATGACTGCTGTTCGAGTACTTCAAGTGCATCAAATGAAGTGTCACGATAATGTTGCGACTGCGGAGATAGCAAACAAGATGTCTTGTCTTGAGCATAATATATAGGCTATTGATAATCTGTCTGAGGAAATTTTGAACATGACCGCTATATTTCACTTTGTTGCAATTTTCGGTACTTCAAAATGGAGAACCAATTGCCATGAAAGTGTGCCTGACTTAACGCATTACTGCGAAAATGATGACGTAGGAAATGTGACAGTTGACATGTTTCAGTACTTATATATCATCGAGGAAACTATTGTTTGTGAATAGTTTATAAACAATATTTTCCTTTTACATGAATAAAAATTAATATATTGAGTTCAATTCTATAATTCGAAAAATTGCTCTACAATTAATACTTACACAAAATTGTTGCAATTTTCAGTGCTTGAAAATGGAGAAACAATTGTCATGAAAGTGTGCCTGACATAACGCATTACTGAGCCTGTAGTATTTCAATAACAATCGCGCAGAGTTGGGAAAATGATAATAATTATAGGAAACGTCTCGCTTGTGACTGTTGACATGTTTCAGTACTTCTTATATCATCTAGGATGCTATTGTTTTGTCTCCAGCTCTTCCCATGAATATAATATCCCCCACAAAATTTTACTGAATTGAACTAACGTCATACAAATACCATGAATAGTGTATAAAGAATATTTTCCTTCTACATGAATAAAAATTGATCTATTGATTTCAATTTTAAAACAAAAAAAATCGCTCTACAATTAATACCTACACAAAATGAATCGTCATAACTCTGCGTCAAAAGATCCATTTTAACCGCAAAACGAAAGAACTTCCGTAAACGTAACATCCGTTCGAACGATCACGCAACAGAAATATATTTTCAATTCAAAACTAAATTTTATTCATAACACGCCGTAAGTCAGCAAGAGAAAGATCTCAAAGTTTTCAACCTGCAAAATAAAGAAAACCAAATAGAAAAATCGCATCTAACGTGTCTTGGTGTTATTTTGCTCTCCTTAACATTGTGCACGGTATGTTTGTATCGTATTGGCTGAAGTGACCATAGGGCATCTCTTTACACTTAAGATTAAGGAAAGAAGATATAAAGTCTTCGTATGTTTCGTATATTTTTGCATGATAAATCTGGCTAATTTACTCATCGTAAGTGAAAGAGCTGATGTATTTCGAGTTACGGTTGTTTTCCAATTGCGCGTTTTTTATACGCACGGAAAATTTTAAATGCTTCTAAATTTTTATTATTTACCATCCGGGTCTACAAAGATAACATCTAAAAGGATTTAGACTTTTACGTGCGGGTACGTGCATATGAAAAACGCGTAACTGCATGGAAAGCAACTCTTAGTCTAATTCAATGATCCCTCTAGGTCCAACTCGCGTGTACCGTTAACCGTTTTATATCTTCTTAACGATGAATCCACTGACGATTAGGTTTAGGTTAAACTAGCTGCCTCAGGAAACATTTCCTACCCCAAAAAGAAATTCAGCCGTTACCACGGAGTAGGGAAAGAGGGGGCTATAACAAAACAAAGTAGCTTCAAAAAGTGTTATAGGTCTAACATTCAGGGGCATTGCGACCGGTATGATAAAGAGGTGGTCAAATTGCTTTGTTATTTGTTCGGGAAATCAAGTAAATTGACCAAAATTTACAACAATATTCATTTGTACATTTAGCTACGAATATTTCAGGCTAGTCATCCTCACCAATTGTTAGCTAATTTCATACAGCATGGACCATGGTTCGGATCTTGGACAATGGATCGTAAAGCGTTCGCGATGAATCATGATTTATAAAACCTAGGCTTTAGCAATAATGACTACATAATTATAGTTATTATGCTGTTCCCTTTTAGGATGCATCGAGCACATGCAGTTGCTCCAGTGGCGAGAGTTCGTGTTAAAAAGAGGAGAAACGGACCATCAGACAATGCACTTACACTAATCTGAGAGATGGCAGAGATTCGGGACAAATCATGGTTCGTGAAAAGAGCGACATTTCTTCTAGAAATATATGTTTTTTGACAATCGTACTAGTTTATTATTCCTTTTGAAATATTCAAATTGCTGTCAAGAAAGTCAAATTGCTATGGATTGCCATTTTAATACATTTATTTCGAATTATGTACTCAATTTCCGTAATATTCATGCATGCATGCTCCTAGAAAACACTGATTGGCAATTTTATTAAGGCTATATGCGTCCAATAAGATATGGTTATTGGGCGTTTTCATTTGTGTTTTCACGCTAACGGGTAAGCAATCACTATAAACGTACATAGGTGTACGAGACAGGGAGGTCACCTTCTCTCGCCAGACTTTTGAATTTAGAAAAGCCTTAGTTGAGCAGATTTTACTGAATTGTACAAAATTTCGAGCGAAAATTACACTTTCGGCTAAATTTGTATTCACCGAGTTTTTATATAGCTTATAATCAAATTTTACCTTCAAGAATTTATCGGATCGGAGAGATTTTGAGCTTCTGGGGCGACATCACTTGCATATCAACGAGGCAATGAGTTAAGCTACAAAATTAATTGGATTTGCACGTGTTAACATTGCGAATATTACGAGACCTTAGAAATTTTTTTTTCCGAATTTCACCTTCGCGGATGTCATTTTTGAAAATTTTTGAAGCGGTTTTTGTTTTCTTTCAGACATGTGATTTCAGAAAGACTCGCTCTGACACAGCTCTGCGTGTTACCTACCAGGGAGATTTGAGAGTAATAAGTGGCAATAACGTTTGTCGACGTTGGTTCTTGACAATCAATGGCAGAGAATGTCAATCACCTGCTACAATTGAAACTCAAATCCACCCTATTGGAGTCTCCGGCCTGAATAACCATCGCCCTGCTACTGTGGATGGTTTTTGTGAGGGTATTAAGCAAGGTCGTATCATTGTTGGTCTCTCTGTTGGTAGTTGTAAATATGGTTACGAAAGCCAGGCAGGTGATGCCTACACTTGCTGGGGTTCAGTTTGTCGTATTATCATTGAAGAAGTGCCGCCATTGCAATGAAATGTTTGAACTGAAATAACTATGTGTTTGCACTTTTGTGTCACTTATAACAGTATCATGTTATAATTATATAAGCCAGAAAGATAGATAAATCTAAACCATATCTGTTCACTAATTAAAATGCATTTAAAATGGTGCAATGGTGCCATAAACGTACCCACCAGTCTTTTTTATATCATCAAGATGCTCGAAGCGGAATAATAGCACAAAAATATTTCTTATCATTATTCATTTTGAGCATAGTATGTTTTAAGTAATAACTTGCGGTCTCTATCTGAAATGTGCATCATATACAGGTAAGTTACCAACAGCGAGGTTCGAATGCCAACAACTGATACTATTCTACCAGTGTGAATATTAATCTTACAGCTTTTCTCGCGTGCATAGTTGTAAGAAAACGTTCTCATTGTGTTGTTTTTTTTCTGTCTATGATGGGAAAAATATCGCGTGTGCGGATGGATTTTAAGCTGTGTGATGAAAGAATTCAGAGGCCAATAAAGATACGTACTTTTAATTTGAGATGGCGATATCAAGCGGCTATTGTTTATATAAAAAAAGGTACGCAAATCGTGGATATCGGTTGCCTTTGAGTCTGAAAGCCTTTGAAGCCAATCACTGATGTGAGATCAGTGGAACCAATCTATTTACAAACTTGCGGGCATCAGTAAACAATAAAGAACTTTTATTTAAATATTGGCTGAAAATATCATACAAACTGCTTCTACTTATTAAAATTGTGCTTAGAATTGAACGATTCTAAATATGACTGATTTAATTTCTGTGTAAACAATTGCATACCATGACATTAAAATATTACCCTGATAATAATTATCATGTACTGTACAGGCTGAATCAACTATATCATTTATAGTCCTAGGAACTGGATTTTCCTCCATGTCATTTAACAGTCTTAGTAACAAGTACCCATACAAATTACGACACAATTGACAGTATATCATTCGAACATACCACAAATAAAATTCACTGTTTTTTTTACTTTATTTAATTAACTTGTCGAAGGGAAGAAGTAAAACTTGAAGTAAAACTTTATTAGTCTTTTGATTCCCAAGCTTATATAAGCTTGCCATTAAGACCATAGGCAGCCCAGCAAACAATGTTGGTTCGTAAGATTACTTCATTATATCAGTGTATTAAAATTAAGACTGCACAGCAAGTTGTGACAGTCTGTACAGCACAATAGCTGTCAAATATTCGGCATGCAGGTGTCTTGTTTCGATGTATGCCCCCACAATCAGTGGAACTAATCTATTAATCAAAAACTTCAGGACATCTGTTAACAATAAATAACTTTTATTGAGTATAAAAATGACCAATTCAAAAATATGACTTATTTTAATCTCTTTGTGAAATATTTTGTATACAATAGCTACAAACTGTTTACCAGCATTTGCACCAAATATCAAATCGTTACCCTAGTTAAAATCAGCATGTACTGTACAGACAGCATCAACTATTATATCATCTATAGTCCTAGATCCTGAATTCTCCTCCACGTCATTTGAGAGTCTTAGTAACAATCGCAAGTAAACATTATGACAGTATATATTTGAGCATACACAGGTACAATTCACTTGATAACGCGCACGTTTATCAGATACAACGACCACTTGATCGTGACGTCATTAAACACTCAACCAGATGCAAAGCCCACTTGATCGTGACGTCATTAAACATCAACCTGAATCTGCAGTCAATGAAATCTTGAATTATAAATGGACAACTCGCAATCTTTTCCGAAAGTAGCGCTGAACGCGCGAACAAGTATGTTCGTCATCTTTCGTACGTCCAAAGATGGACGGACAAACCCACGGATCCATGCAGACACATTTCAATTACATAATTGTTATGCGCGCATGCGCAGCGGCTACCTACAAAAACTATGTTAATTAGAGTGATAGAGAAATGACAAACGAAATATTTTAAGCCGGACTGTGTATGTGTTTTGATGCATTGTTGGTCTCAAGTATTTCGAATCCAAAAATATTGCGAACCGAATTACTCATTGAAATGCTCAGTGACACAGTGAAAGTCCACAAACACTTAAAGTGCATTTTTATCCAGAAGTCCTGGAAATATCTGTTGTTTGTCTATAATTATACAATTATATGCAGTTACACGAACACATGACTAATAACTCGGGCACTTTAAATTTTGACGAAAAGCATGACTGAAGAACGTGGCATAACATCCGTCTCAGCAATCACGCAACAGAAATATATTTTCAACTCAATCTATATTCTATTCATATCACGCCACAAGTCAGCAAGAGAAAGATTGCACAGTTTCATTCAACCTGAAAAATATAGCAATTAAATGCAGAAGTCACATCTAACGTGTCTTGGTGTTATTTTGCTCTCTTTAACATTGTGCACGGTATGTTTATATAGTATTGGCCGAAATAACAATGATCGTCCAGTTCAGCGACAAAAATGATAACTTGACCGACTCGATAATCTCCCTGAATGTATATTCTGTTGATATCCTACATAACGTCCGCCAGGGCCTGGTATCTCAATGAAAGGGCAAGCCATTCTAATGACGCATATATCTGATCCTATAAGTCCGATTGGCGACTTTCAATTTTTGAACTTGCATTGTACTCATCAAAGTGTAGTCATCTCCACCAATTGTTAGCTAATTTCATACACTATGGTCCGTGGATCGGATCTTGGAAAATGCCGGATCGTAAACTTAATCATGACTTATGAAACCTAGGCTTTGCCAATGACTAAATAATTATAATTGTTATGCTCTTCTCTTTTAGGATGCATCGAGTACATGCAGTTGCTCCAGTGGTGAGAGTTCGTGTCAAAAAGAGGAGAAACGGACCATCAGACAATGCACTTACACTAATCTGAGAGATGACAGAGATTCGGGACAAATCATGGTTCGTGAAAACAGCGACATTTTTTCTAAAAATATATGTTTTTTGATAATCGTACTATTTTATTATTCCTTGACTATTGGATTTCAAAATTTTCAAATTGCTGTGAAGAATGACAAATTTCTACGGACTGCCATTTTAATATATTCGAATTCGAATTATGCGCTCAATTTCCATAGTATTCCGTCTACAGTCATTTGCTCCTAGAAAACAATGATTGGAAATTTACGTCCAATGAAATATGGTTATTGGGCGTTTTTATTTGTGTTTTCACTATAAACGTACATAGATGGACGAGGCAGGGAGGTCACCTGGCTGTATGAGCAGGAGGCTACCTGCTCTCGCCAGAGACTTTTGAGTCTAGAAAAGTTGCCCAGATTTTACCGAATTGTACAAAATTTCTAGCGAAAATTACACTTTCGGCTACATTTGTATTCACCGAGTTTTTATATAGCTTATAATCAAATTTCCCCTGGTAATTGAGAATATACCGGATCGGAGAGATGCGAAGGCGCCAGGTTTCGAGTTTCTTGGGTCGAAATCACTTGCACATTAATGGACGACTTGCGCTTTAGACTAACATTTGATCGAAGTAACTAGAGGAAAATACATCACCTCAGCTAGAAAGATCTTACTTAAATTCGTAAAACTACAAAGTTTGGCTGCGAAATTTTGTAAAATAGGGAAAATATAGCCATGCGAAGTTGGCAAATTTAGTATATTTTTGTATTACGTGCGGAAATGTGTAACTAATTTAGTTACAAACATTCGGTCGTAATACAAAAGTATACAAAAATCAACAACTTCGCATGGGTATATTTTCCGTATTTTACAACAATTCGCAGTCAAACTTGGCAGTTTTACTTATTTGAGTAAGCTCTTTCAGAAAATGTACTTTTTTTCTTCGAGGTAAGAAATTAGTCTAAAGCGCAAGTCGTCCATTCGACTTGCATTGCGAAGATTAATAGACCTTAGAAAAAAATTTTTCCGAATTTCACATTCGCCGATACCGTTTTTGAATATTTTTGAAGCGGTTTTTGTTCTCTTTCAGACATGTGATTTCAGAAAGACTCGCTCTGACACAGCTCTGCGTGTTACCTACCAGGGAGATTTGAGAGTAATAAGTGGCAATAACGTTTGTCGACGTTGGTTCATGACATTCAATGGCAGAGAATGTCAATCACCTGCTACAATTGAAACTCAAATCCACCCTATTGGAGTCTCCGGCCTGAATAACCATCGCCCTGCTACTGTGGATGGTTTTTGTGAGGGTATTAAGGAAGGTCGTATCATCGTTGGTCTCTCTGTTGGTAGTTGTAAATATGGTTACGAAAGCCAGGCAGGTGATGCCTACACTTGCTGGGGTGCAGTTTGTCGTATTATCATTGAAGAAGTGCCGCCTTTGCAATGAAATGTTTGAACTGAAATAACTATGTGTTTGCACTTTTGTGTCACTTATAACAGTATCATGTTATAATTATATAAGCCAGAAAGATAGATAAATCTAAACCATATCTGTTCACTAATTAAAATGCATTTAAAATGGTGCAATGGTGCCATAAACGTACCCACCAGTGTTTTGTATATCATCAAGATGCTCGAAGCGGAATAATAGCACAAAAATATTTCTTATCATTATTCATTTTAGCGCAGTATGTTTTAAGTAATAACTTCCGGTCTCTATCTGAAATGTGCATCATAAACAGGTAAGTTACCGACAGCGAGATTCGAATGCCAACAACTGATATATTCTGCCAGTGTGAATATTAATCTTACAGCTTTTCTCGCGTGCATAGTTGTAAGAAAACGTTCTCATTGTGTTGGTTTTTTTCTGTCTATGATGGGAAAAATATCGCGTGTGCGCAGGGATTTTAAGCTGTATAAAGGACTTTTATTTAAATTTTTGCTGAAAATACCATACAAACTGTTTCTCCTTATTAAAATGGTGCTCAGAATTGACCGATTCTAAATATTCATTCATATTGACTGATTTAATTTCTTTGTAAATGTAAACAATTGCATACAATGACCTTAAAACATTACCGTGATAATAATTATCATGTACTGTACAGGCTGAATCAACTATATCATTTCAAAGTCCTATAGGGACTGGATTTTCCTCCATGTCATTTAACAGTCTTAGTAACAATTACACATACAAATTATGACACAATTATGAACATACCACAAATAAAATCCACTGTTCTTTTGACGTTTATTTAATTGACTTGTCAAAGGGAAGTAGAATACATTGAAGTAAAACATTAATAGTCTATTCCACTTCTCATTTTGGAATTTTATCATCAAGTACTTTTAAAGACAAGTAGTTATGATTTCCTTGGAGGCAAACATAAGCACCATCTCTAAAATGTTACAACAGACAACATCCTGTACTTGCTTTCTATACGCAATTTCGTATCATTTGCTCATTCCTGTTCAGCATTTAAGGTTCACCCACACTCAAATCACTATAAAAACAATACGTGAAACCCACCAATGTTTCGCACTTTACAGCGCTAAGTACATAGAAAAACGGTTAGAAAATTCAAAAGAAAAAAAAGTTTAATTTTGCTACGAAGCACAAAGTCAACACATACAGTGAACAATTACTCCAATTTACTGTGTCTCGATTTCGAGATGACCCCCACTGGAATTATGAAATCCAATAATTAGCCACTAACATGAGACCCAATAATTAACCACTAGCAGAAAAAGCTGATTTTTTATGTGTGTTTTTTTAAATATTTGGACGAATATTTCAATTTATTTACTGCGCCTTTAATGGTGTCGAAAGATTTCGTCTCGACATAGCGTGAGAACGTTCATACGTATCATAACCCCTTTACCTGAACAATCAAATATATTATGAATTTTGCACTTTATTATATTCAATCATAATACGTTATAAGGCAGCAAGAGGAAGACCACAATTACAATCAACCTGCGGATCAAAGCAAAAATAAAACAAAATGAAGAAATTGCATCTAACATGTCTGGTTATTTTGCTTTCAATGTGCACGGTAGGTTTATATTGTAGTGCCTGGATTAATGTGCTCTTTGGCGATCGGCAAGAAAAATGTAATTCCTGCAGATAAACATCCTGCATGTGAATTCTGTTGATCTGTTGATTACCTATATATAAATTATAACGTTGGCCAGTGTACCTCGATATTAACTTGGTTGAAGCCTATATAAGAATGTTGATTTACAACAGACGAATCTGCAGTCACAAAATAACCACAAAAATATATGGCCAAAATATTTTCCTCATTTTTATTATTCAAAGTACATAGATTCTTGTACCAAAGTTATGGCTTATATCACTTTAAAAGTAAAAGATTTCAAAATCAAAACGTTTGTTTGCAGTCTATTTCTTTTCGGCCTTTTTCAAGGAAACACCTGACCATGCGGGTTTCTTGGCGCCCGCGGGCTCTGCTTCCTTCTTGGCACGTGGATCAATGACGGCTTTGTGAAGTTTTGGTTGGTTTTGCCAAGCTGCTTTTTCCTTCTTCTTTTCAGGATCCTCACGCTTCATGACAGTTGTTCCAATGATATTATCACTCTTTCGTAAGTTATTAACCCAATTTGGTTGGTTCTGACAAATAATATGGAAAGAAATGTCATTATTCCTGCTAAAACTTTGAAAACATAATATAACTAGCAAACTAAAACGGACAATCTTTAGAGAGGTGTTATCCTGCTTGGATGTACAACGGCCCAATATGGACTCAATCGACCTAATTTCGTGGGGATTACTCTGATATGAACTTTTAAACTTTTAAACGAACTCTCGCGACAAGCGGCAAACGTTCTCACGACAACATTTTGTACAATTATAGTGGGCACTACTCTAATGGGAAAAGCAATGGTGCAGCTTGTTTATATATCGGGGATCTGAATCGTCTGGATATCTGTTCAATCGCTATGCCAATGTTCAAGTGCCTTCAGCCAGAACGTAGTTTGCTCGTTACTGATTACACTCACCGCTGCAGATTCGCGTTGCTTTTCCTTGAAAGCACGGAACTTGTCTTCCCAGAGAGACGATTGCGCTTTCTTAACCACATCAAAGAAGCCTGCGCCTTTTCCAGCGCCCGCACCTCGTCCGCGTTTAGGCGCCTCGGGCACAACAGCACCATTCTTAATGGCTTCGTTATACTCGGCTTCAGCGACTCCATATTCTTTACGAAGTCGTTCCACCTAAAATTGAAAAAATACTGCAATCCTGTTTGTTTCTAATTAGACCGCTAATAGTTTTGTAGCTCTAATCTGAATGTTTGCAATAAACATGCATTTACTATTACTATAGTCGGTAGCATGCATTTGGTAGACTCCGGTCAATCTAAAAACCTCAGTTTCCAATAGTAACCTTGCACTAACCTCTTGATGATTCATTTTAATTTTCATTTCAACATCTCTCTGCTGTTTCGCTAAGTTCTCCGTAGCATTTTCGGCGTTGCGTAGGCGCGTGCGCAATGAGCGCACTTTGAGATCGAGTGAGCTGATGTCAGCAGTTGATGCCCCGGATGTAGCGGTCTTTGCATCAGGTTTGTTCTTTGCATCCCTCTCCTCGGCGAGTTCGTACAGACGATCAATCAGAGAGTCAATGATTCGACCTGAAAATGAAAATAAAATATAACATTAATGATAAGAAACGAATAATATAGTCGTGAAATAATCCATTTGAGAAATTTAGATTAACCGCCGATTTGGGTTGACTATGGTTTCGAAAAAAGGACGCACTCAAGAGCGATTTTAGCTTAGTGTCTGAAATCTTTTAAGTGTGCATAAAAGAGAGATTTTTTTTGAAAAATCTTAATGGCATTCATTTTAAAAACGTTTCAACAATGGGTGCCTGCATTCTGAGGAAATTATCTATAGTGGGATGATTAATTCAATATTAATGAAATGAACTTACGTTTTCGATCATCATCAATCTTTCCAAATGCAGTTTTGGGACCGTCAGTCTTATCACCTCCCTGGAAATTTAAAAAAGTTGTTGGGTGGTGTTAATATGAATTGGGTGCGTCCCACCCTAAGCAACTAGGCGTGTAGAAGAACTTTCACTGTTGTTGCATTGAACCAGTAATCATTGGTCTTATAGGTGAAAAAGACGAAAAATGGAATGCAATAATTGCTAAATAAATTATTTCCCCTCCCCTAAAAAACGCTTAGCCGCAGCCCCGACGTGAAGCAGGTTCTTCCAGTTGAAATGTCGCAATAGAAACGTCCTTTGACGCGACCTTCACGCTCAGTTGGTAAAGTATTGGGTTACCTGGCAATCCTACACCTAGCAGGTGTTTCTATCCGGAGGCTAGGGGTGCCGCAAGAACGATTTTGATTTCAAAAGAGATAAATACTGCAGAACACGAATATATGAATATTGTCCCACCCCCTCCCAATTATCGTTTTTGTAGCGTCCCTACCTACAGCGGTCAAGATTTATAAGGACGCGCTATCATGTCTCGAAATATAAAAGTGGAGCACACTTTCACATTACTTGTAGTTTTAGATTGTCCTAGAATATGCGCATCGTTAGGTAATTGTAAAAGTGATATAAATCAGTATCGCAGAGTGCTTAACGCTGCTCTTATGTAACAATAAGCCTTCCATTTTTTGTATCCGATCAAGCACGACATCTCAAATTGGTATGGTGGACGATGGAATGTCTGTACCTTGGCAGGTGGAGCTTGTTCTTCCTCTTCTTCTTCTTCTTCCTCCTACCAACATCAGGTAAAATACTTTATTTACAAAACTTGTATCTTAATTTGTTTGAATTAAAACTTAATGATGTCGAAGGCTCAAAAACGTGAGGTAAATAAATATATATAACCTCCTGTTCCCGTTGTTTCCTTGCATCTTCCTCTTTTTTTCTTCGTTCTTGTTCTTGCTTCGCCTTTTTATCATCTTCTTCTTGGCTGAACACCATAATAACGAACAAAAATATACGCATGAATAATTTCCTCTACCTGTTAGATACAGTACCAGAATTATTCATGCTGTTAAAATAAATAGTTTTCACCATATTTCGAAGGCAAACAGAATTAATTCACAACATTCGCGGATCCAAGCTCTGAAATTTTGTGGGACTATCCTTTCACATTTCTTATTTGTAAGTTGAATCAATTAAAGTTTAGATTCTGATACACAAAACAAGATTTCCATGGATAATGATTAACGTTCTCGTTGCATTACCATCAAGCCTTAAGTTTAAATCTGGTAGAGTGGGTTCATACGATAAGGGGTTTTTTTTCGATCTAAATGAAGAATTTGTAATCATCAGGAGTAACCGTCCCACTAACCGGCGTGATTTTGCAGAACCCGCGTCATCACCTGTAAGGAAAAGGTGAGCTTTAGTAAGAGGTATATTATAGATAATACGACAGAAAAGACGTTCGCAGTTCATCATGCTCAAAGAAGCAAAATGTACGAATTAATATATTTCCACGGATGTAAACCCCAAAACGCACCAAACTATAATTAGTCTCCAGCCCCCAGACTTTATTTTCAGAAATTTAAAATGATACCCGGATCTTGAGGTTAACAAACGTTCCTGTACACCTGACCGGGACTTTGATGTGCAAGGTCTCCAATAGCCCCCCCTTCCCCCCACCGGGTACAATTCGAATACCCCTGCATTTTTGCCAAGATAACGGATAAAGCTATGAATACGGCAGTTTCGATATTATGAAACATGTTTCGTTTATTTGACTGTGTGATCTTACCAGACTCTCTCTTCTTGCGTCTTTCTTCTCTGGCTTTTTGCCGTTCAGCATCCGCCTGATTAGCTTCAGCTTCACGCTGGCTTCTCCGTTCTTCACGTTCTAATCTACGTTTTTCACGTTGTTTGGCCAAGTCGTCCTGTTAACGTAGAGCAAAATTAAGTTCAAGATATTTATCCAAGGTCAAGAAGGGTAATAAGACAATGCCGAGATAAGCATTGCCTAACGTTAGGGAGTATCTTAAGAACATTTTATCACTGCACAAGAGAGCAAGGAATAGTAGAATCTAAACAAATATAACATGGTTTAAGAAACGCTCTGGTTGCTTTGGGAGTATCTTAAGAACATTTTATCACTGCACAAGAGAGCAAGAAATCGTAGAATCTTAATCGTAGAATCATGGTTTAAGAAATGCTCTCGTTGCTTTGAATCCGCATGTGAATTCGAACGGGTACATGACACGTAAAGCTTGCGTTGTTATACTATAGCTGTATCAGACTTGTCAGAACAATCTTGTAACTAGACGGATAATGACATCGGACTTCCTACTAACGGCTTGTCTGAAACTTGCCACAACGACCTAAACGTGCTGCGAACACAACTTGTTGACAGCTTGTAAACAGACTTGCAACAACTTGTTTGTACGTTTGTTACAACAGCGTTTCACGCGTGAACTATATTTGCTTACTATGCGTCTTACATACGCAGCACATACCGTTTATATAATTAATATGAACATATATATAATCAGTCTCAGAGAATTACTTTGCAGATAAACTACGTATTAGAGCAGTAACCAATTCGATATGGCCACATACTACAATACTTCATTTGTTCAATAATGTAATTGCAACCATTCAATTCATTGAATTCAAGACTAGAGGCCGGTTGTTCGAAAGGCGTTTAGCTTAAACGGTGGATAAGTTAAAAATGGAAAACCAAATTATCTATTTATTGAACAACTGAGCTGAAATATTTCGATAAATAGTTTAATTGTCAATGGAAGTACATATTTAATGCTAAGATGCTAATTTAGTCATTCACAAGATGTATGAAAGTAATTTTAAACTTCGGCTTATCCACCTAAACAACGTTTAAGCGTTTAGCCTTTCGAACAACCGTCCCCGAATGTTTTCAACCAAATATGAACGCATTTCTTGAGCCAGTGAAAACACGTTTACATTAGGTTATTCACAACATAGGGTATCATGTATCACATCTCAAAACTGGTATTTACATTTATAAACACTGCGTCGGTGTCTCTTCAGGATTTACTTCCAGTATTTAAGCCAATAAAATTGAAGAGACTATATTCTAAAAGAGCTCATAATGATCTATAATTACGCATACAAGTGATACAACATCACTTGGTTACAAAAACACGATACATACAAGTAGCATCATTTGTGTAATAATATATGATTTGTAAATCTGGTGTATGCATGCCCTCGCAACATTGTGCATAGATTATGTTGCATGTGTAGAGGGACACTCCTCGCGTATTAGGTCGAAGTTCAAATATAACATGATATAAGTTTACATTATTTTTGCAACGATATCTAAAGAAGAGAAAACAGCCTCACACAAGGATCGCAGTATTGTGACCCAAAAAGAAACATTGTATCACCAAACTGATTGTAATAACAAGGATAAATACGGGGAGACATGTCTACCATTGGTGAGCAAGCCGTTACCAGTTGGGTTGTGGATTATTGGCTGAAAAGAGTTCGGGTCTGTTCGTCCAAACCGCGAAGCTCAACCAAACACAAACCACAACTTCTTTAAAACCGTAGCCCGTCGGTCATGCGTTAAACGTTGTCCTATATAAATATGGGCATGAATTTGCACATGCAAATAATCTGTTGCCGAAACCGAAAGCCTTTTTATTGCATGAAATAGGGTAATATTGCGTTAAATCTTTACAAAATTCCATTCCCATTGTATATGAAACCTCGAATGTAAAACATCATATAGTATGGTTGTATGTTGACTGTACGAGATTTCAGCGAAAATCATCCCAGGCTTTCCAGAATGCTGTGACATCGATTTGTATGTCCCATATCCTTAGTTACAGTTGTGGCTTCTTGAGCTCAAATGTTATACAAAAATACTTTACGGTCACGAAATGTAGTCTGATATCTATAACCTAATATCGGGGCTATATTTAAACCGAGAAGATCAATACACGAGGATGATCTGAGCAACAGCATTTTTACAGACATTCGGTGTTATGAACTTGATCGCGTGGTCCCATTTGCAACAAGTGTATGCACAGTTATCGGCGTATACTAGCTAGCTGCTTTTCTACGCCAAAATAATATTTTGTGAAATGACACTTACATCATCGTCGCCACCACGTCTTGATCGTCGATCTACAAGCAAGGAAATACATGTCAATATACGGTATTAAAATATTTCCTTCATACTATAAAAGTCGCGAAATTTAAACCTACCACTCATCTTTTAACAGTCTAAATGTCAAATGTCTTAACGTGGTGTTTTATTAAGGCAACTGTAACTGCTTTGTCAACGCAGAAATGATTGAAACACGAAGCGCTGGCTTGCTTAGCGATGCTAACGACGAACAGCAAAAGACAGGCCCAACCTTCGCACTACAAGCAAGAAAAATGACAAATAGCTTACGTTCCAACCCCTCAGATCCTGCTGTGGATTGAAGATTACTGTTTAATTTTCAACTCAATGTGTTTAGCACCGCCTACTGCGGTGCACAACATTACAATCGATTCTGTTACCATAATATAATCCCGTGCATGTACATTCACAAAAAAATATACTTCAGACAAACAGTGTTACGACAAACAAAACGATTTTGGTATTTTATTTGAGAGTTTTAGTGCAAGAATATGGAAAAATTGGCAACATATATTCTTTGGTTGTTTGGTTTAGGCGTCAAACACAATGCTCCTGTAGACAATGCTTATCCGTAGAGCTCTTCACTGATTGGTTCATTTCACAATGTATTTCATAACATGTTGATATGGTCTGTCGCTCGCAAGCAAACTGTTTGAATAAACTTGACTAGATAATTCCTGTTATGGATTACTACATGAAATCAATGTTAAAATACCACAAAAGAACCATATAAGTATAGCCACTATCAATATGAAAAGCCGTGAAATGATTTCTGAGTCAGGAAATGCTAAATTTAGCCCACTTTTGAATCAGCTGGCAGTGGCAATTGATCCTGATAGCTTGGCGCTCAGGAAATTATCAGATGTACAACAACGACAGACATACTTCGTAATGTAATTATCGTTCTAACCGTTTTTTCTGTCGACCAGCTTAGGCAAGATTAACTGAAATATTTGTATTATCGAAATGCTTTGTTCATGTTTATAACTACGTATGCTAAAATTGTGAAATTTGGTATAAAAACTATGGTAAATATAACATGGTCTTGCTACCAACGCTGAAATGTTCCATAAATTTCCAATTATAAATCTGATGAATATCATTTGTAATATCATTCCGATACTCGCCCAATAAATAGATAATCCGAATATATATGAACACTATCACTTATATATTTTTCATGTATTCTCCATCTTATGACCTTATGTAAGCTTATAAGAGCAATCATAATTAATTAATTATTCATTATATTTATCCTAATTTTTTACATCTAAAAACAGCGCTTTGGTCATGGTACTAAAAATAACATGGGTAATAGTTTTGACCATTAAAATACTACACTGGCATGGCCCATGAAGCCAAATTCTCGCGTGTCTGAGTTCCCGACACGCGTGCGGGAATTTTCAGCACAATGAGAATGCGTGGCAATGCCTGATGAAAATACACGCACTCCTTGGTGGAATTTGGAAATTAAAATTAGAATATTAATTATGCCTGCCGGATTTTGTTTCTAAGTGTAAATAAATACAACGCTTTGGTATAGTTATTGAAAATAGAATATTAATCCTGACTATTTAGTGAGGCTTAACCTTTTTTAAAGCAAACAGTTCCGATTAGTAATTACACCAGCAAATCAACACCAACCTCAGCCTATGCTCAACACAAATTTCGTGAACGTTAAAACAAGTTCAAACTTTGGACGTTTTTACAGTGATGATGATTGGATGTTGATGCGTATTGGCTCATAATCTAGTGCAACTGTGCAAACGAGTTTGTAGTTCAAAATTGTCTTCAATTAAAAAGTGATTATCTTGCAAATTTGTGCTTTCAAACTTTCTCACTCCCAGTCTCAGTCTCGAAAACAGTTAAACAGAGCCCGCGATCTCCCTGTGGATCGCGGGCTCTGGTTTTGAGAGATTGTCTCACCACTCCTTGGTTGTCTTCCCATTTTTTTGCATGTGTGTTTTGCCTGCACGGCCCACCAAATATATTATATAAGGGGTCCACTACTTAACTTTGGATAACAGAATGATGTTATTGTTTCCACACTAGCCAGTAGGCACTGGCAGGTTATTCTAAGTAAAAAAAGAGTTGTCTCAATGTCCAGTTACCATAGTTACGAACACTAGACACAGCCAACGATGGAATCTTGTAAACAGCAAATCAGAGTATCGCTGTAACGATCGATGGAATTTCTTTAAACTTTCAATGGTTGCCTGGGTGCTGAACCGGAACAATTAAAATTGGTGCGGTAATAAAAGTTTGGCAAGCTAAATCTTCCCCGATCTATCCCTCAAAAATCGTCGCTATTTTGCTTTTGCTAAACGAAATACAATTCATTCAGTTCATCCCGAACGGACAAATTTCAGAATAAGCCCTGAAAATCCTGTCAAGTTAGGTTTATTACTTCTTAAATTTTCTTGCGTGAAAGAAATGAGCCGGATTTTTCGTTCGCTAATTAGAAAAGTATATTACAATAAAACGATCGAACAACTCAATGAATAGGCCAATCGAACACTTTTATTTACTCAGGGTAAAACCCTAAGTGAATAAAAAGGTTCGCTTAATTCTCGTATTTAAAAACAGGATAAATCATATTATTATGCATTACTAATGCAATCTCGATTGTGATTAGCTAAAAACCTACAAATAATTGTTGCCTGCTTCTTGCCATAACAAAGTAAAGTGGTTTTTTTAATGTTTTTGTTCCTATATAACAAAACACTTAATGTACACTATCTCGGGAAATAATGAGTTTTGTTTTCCCTCAAGTCTCAAATGTTTTTCTCGACTTCGTCTCGGGAAACATTCAGACTCTTGGGAAAAAAAAACTCACTATTTCCCTCGGGAGCATACATTAAGTATATAATGTCTTGCCACCTACACGACATTGAAAACTATCCGTAGATGACGTAATTTTTTGCCGCTGGTTTGTTGTCAATAATGGCGCAGGCTTTCTCTCTAAAAAGGAAATACATAATAAAACAATCATATTGAATTCGATTTTCGCATGATATCGAGAATTATCAAGCCTCAGTTTGCGTTATTCGCCTCAGCGAATAATGCAAACTTCGGCTTGATAATTCTCGATATCACATTCAACCTCATCCAATAATTGTCAATTATTTCTGAAGTGGACCACCTTAACTGATCAGCTTCGTCCAATGACTGGACTTTATTATGTAGTTATCATTCCATTGAGTTCACTAACAATTAGTGGAATTTGACATGTCACTTTACAAAGTTCACCAGACAATAAAACAATACCTAATTTACACACAATACAGGCAACACAGAGATGATCTCCAATAACAAGGTCGAAAATTTGTAACAACATCGTAGACAAATGCAATCATGTACACGGAAATAAATCCAACGTTATAAGTCCTTTCCTCATTAACTGGGAACTCAAAGGCCTCAAACAACCTTTTCGTTTTACCGTCGATATTCAGTGCTGTATCGCTTGCGCGGCATATGGTAAAACGCGGACTGGACTGGACTTGTAAAACACGGACTGGACTAAATTAGTAAAACACGGACTGGACTAATTTAGTAAAACGCGGACTGGACTAAATTAGTAAAACACGGACTGGACTAAATTAGTAAAACGCTGACTGGACTAAATTAGTAAAACACGGACTGGACTAAATTAGTAAAACACGGACTGGACTAAATTAGTAAAACGCGGACTGGACTAAATTAGTAAAACACGGACTGGACTAAATTAGTAAAACACGGACTGGACTAAATTAGTAAAACGCGGACTGGACTAAATTAGTAAAACGCGGACTGGAAACATTCCGGGCGTAAAAATCGAGCAATTCTTTCAGAATCTACACAATTTATCATCTTATGTTATGAATTACGAGCATTCAATTCAACACAAATATAATTTGGAAGGTTTATTCCATTAATAGAGCTAAGAGGTTAGGAAGAAACGACGGTGTGTTGTTTATGTATTGATAGATCTCTTACACGAATATATATTATATCGATAGCGATAGCAAGTCGATACCTGCATGGTATTCTGCATATACAGTACATAAATGATATACAGAACGGACATATTGTGCAGTAATCAAATCATTTTGCCGGTATACAGTATTGATTGTAAGTATATTGTTTTTTATCGATTTACGCGTCGAAGTATGATTATGTCTATGATGTGGATATTAACTATTATGTCTATGATGTGGATACTTCGACGCGTAAATCGATACAAAACAATATACTTATAATCAATACTGTATACCGCCAAAATGATTTGATTACTGCACAATATGTCCGTTCTGTATATCATTTATGTACTGTATATGCAGAATACCATGCAGGTATCGACTTGCTATCGATATAATATATATTCGTGTAAGAGATCTATCAGTTCATAAACAACACACCGTCGTTTCTTTCTAACCTCTTAGCTCTATTAATGGAATAAACCTTCCAAATTATATTTGTGTTGAATTGAATGCTCGTAATTCATAACATAAGTTGATAAATTGCGTAGATTCTGAAAAAAATGCTCGATTTTTACGCCCGGAATGTTTTGAAGCAATGCTCGTCGCTCCTCGTTTCTTTACATCGTGAATAATGTTCAAGGCTCTACGCTTCCTTTCCAAAACTTTGGGAAAGTATATACGACTTTTTAAATCTCTTGTTGTGTTAATAATTATAAAATTAAAGAAATTTTATCGATTCCAGTCCGCGTTCTACTAATTTAGTCCAGTCCGTGTTTTACTAATTTAGTCCAGTCCGTGTTTTACTAATTTAGTCCAGTCCGTGTTTTACTAATTTAGTCCAGTCCGCGTTTTACTAATTTAGTCCAGTCCGTGTTTTACTAATTTAGTCCAGTCCGTGTTTTACTAATTTAGTCCAGTCCGTGTTTTACTAATTTAGTCCAGTCCGCGTTTTACTAATTTAGTCCAGTCCGTGTTTTACTAATTTAGTCCAGTCCGCGTTTTACTAATTTAGTCCAGTCCGTGTTTTACTAATTTAGTCCAGTCCGTGTTTTACTAATTTAGTCCAGTCCGTGTTTTACTAATTTAGTCCAGTCCGCGTTTTACTAATTTAGTCCAGTCCGTGTTTTACTAATTTAGTCCAGTCCGCGTTTTACTAATTTAGTCCAGTCCGTGTTTTACTAATTTAGTCCAGTCCGTGTTTTACTAAGTCCGTGTTTTAGAAGCACCGCATATAATGCTAGAAGCACCGCATATAATGATAGAAGCACTGCGTATAATGTTAGAAGCACCGATTGAAATGACGATTGATCACTTAAGACAGCTATGGCTTTCCATACATGCTGGCATGGAAACTTTATCTTTCTTAGTGGAAGCACAGAACGTTCGATCATTATTGTTCTCGCGCAGTATTAATCAGCATTTTACTAACCAAAATAAAGCCAGAAAGAGATGTTTTTGTCGAGCTATATATTTTACAAATTTTTAACATTTAAATTACTTTAAAGAAGGAGAATAACATATCCAGGTAAGCTATATGTATTCTATTTTCGTTTGATGCTTTAGATGGATTGATATGACCGCTAAAATATTGCTTTTATCAACGAGTCACTTCATTTGTCTCGTGTTACAGTGTATCTTATCACCAATATATTCTGTGAGATTTTCCTCAGCAGAAGTTGCAAGAATACTGCCCATTAGGAACCGTAGACAAACGCTAGTTTCGTCTAGAAATAGCGGACAATTGGCCGCAATATTTGAACCCCCTCCCCCCTCTATATAGCGCACCACCCTAATTTTGGTCATCACAAACGAGTAGGACAAGCTATTTAGAATTTCCCCGCCGCCATTTTTGGTTTTAAAATGCTGTGATCGGAAGTGCCGGCATGCCCTGACGGCCGGAGGAACGAACAAACATTCGCCCCAAAATTTAACACTTAACTCCTTAAAATTATTGATATATTGTAATAAATTTCCTGCACAAAGTTCCTTATTGCAAGTTTTGTGTGAATTTTAATAATCCAAGGTAGGACTGAGGCTCACTACCCCTTCAATTGGGCCAAATTCCCTATTTCCAGGCAAGACCTATATGTTGGTTGCTGAAATAGTCTATGACATGTAATATACTGAACATTTTGTACTTGAAGTACGGTATTTTAGTTTATCACAGTTTTTACAGAGATACAATTTCAGCTTAATTTTAAAGTTAATTATGACAGTTGTTTTCATTGAGGCAATATTCACTAAAATTAGGTTGCTTGCCCAAATGCCATTTCACACATACTCATCCAAAATCGAATTAGAATGGTATGATCCTCTAACAAAATCCAATCTAACTATAAAATTATTATGTATATACACACTGCCTAAATGTAATATCTGATACAATATTGACCATGCCTCAAACATCAATCAGCAGATGTATTTGTCTCAAAGTCCATGGTAATTTTTTAACAAACTGCTCAATCATTGTTTCTTCAACTAACTAGTGTACTAGTAAAGTCATGAATGTGCGCTAGATCTTTCCTTATAACTTAGGTATTTATAACATTGGGATTAAGATATTGTGATGTGCTCAGGGACACCTTGTCTCTGCACACAATATATTGCTTTGTATTTAGTTTTGTAGTTTTAGTTGTTAGTGCTGTATGTGACTTGTAATGTGATTAGTCTTAACAACTGCTCCTATAAACCTCCATATTTGAATTTATTGTCATGGTTTATTTATGTATACCATTGGATTTGGTGGGAAAATCTTGTTACAAGCTGGAGAACTAAGAAACCCTGTGCCTGCAATGCAATGCTTTTTATTTACACAGATATATATCAGTCAGATAGTGAGGAACTGGAATCATTGTAAATACCTTGACATTGTTCTATAAATGCGAATTTGTAAAAGCTAAAAACAAAATTGGAGTCCTTCTGCTCTATCACTTTCATTTGAATGTGGTGCAGCAACTACTAAAATAGACACAAAAAAGCCTCAAAAACATTTGTCAACCTATTTGGTTGAGAACCAATTTTCAAATGAAATAATTGATTATGTGTAACTCCAAGATTTGACTCAATCTGGCGTAATTGGTTGCCTAATTGCCTGTAGCAACCAGCCCCAAACAATGGTTATATGACTGGTACATATGTGGTGCTTGTTAGCAATATCAAATCAGATCTGAATGCCATCTTCCTTGTCATCCTAATTTTTATTGAAGCCTATAAACTGTCCATTTTTACATGTATAATATTATAACAACATACAGTAACTTCTCATTAATTTCTGATACAAGATGTTAACACTTTTGTCTTATTTGAATTAAATTACCAAAAAACAAGGCCAAACAAAGAGTTAAAACTATAAATTACCATTGCAGATAATCAACTGAAAGCAACTATGGCTCCTCCCGACTCAGGGACGCAGCGTCAGATACAGCGACAAAGACAAACAAGTACAGATGAAGTTATGGTTGAAACACCAGATATTGTGACCTTCTTCATTGCTGATAGAGTTAGGGAACAAGGACTTGTTGTACCAGAAGAAATGAGAGCCATTTCAGTCAATGGTGAAGTGGCGTCATGCTTAAGACAGGTTTATTAATTATAAGATTGTTTATCAACTACAGTAGTTTAGGCACCCAACCATTTATTAAACACTACCAGTACTGATGTTCTTCTATAGCTGAAGTACTGTACAGTTTCTAGTTGTGTAACACTTGGGAATTGATTTTTAATTGAAAGATCGACACTTGAACCTTCATGAAATGTCTGCAATGTCACATAGTTTTGTGGTTTGCAGCAAAGCAAGCATGTTTTTGCTTGACTGACTCGCCACACTAGCCAATCAGAAACATTCACTAGCTGTCCAAAAAACAATGTGATGACTTGATCATCAAAATTTGATGATGAAAGTCTAACATGATCACAGTTTTCCAGCTCATCATCAGTAAGTGCACTACAGGTACCAACCTTAATCTGAAAATTCAAAGAAATTATTTGGTACTATATTACATTTTTCTATTATTTACTGTACTAATTGACCTAATCACATTGTAAATATGATTTTGGTATGGCTATTCTCCGTACTCCAAATTCGCATGGCTATATTTTCCGTACTACTTGAGATTTTACCGCAAAACTTGGCAATTACACTAATTTTGGTATGCGGTTTTTAGCTGTGGTTTTCTCTCGTGTCACCTAGATCGTAAGCTCGTCTATTATGCAAAAGGTCACACCATGCAAATGATTGGCAGATAAACATTTGTGCTGATCCTCCAAAACCTTAATCTCCCTATTTTTAGTGCAAAGTTTCTTTGAAACTTTGAGTTTCTTTGAAACTTTGCAGTATTGTGATGAGTGGCGAAAATTCAGGCGAGTCAGTCAGTCATACTGTAAACTTTCCGGGGGGGGGGGTATATTCCATAAATAGACCTAAGAGGTTAGGAAGAAACGACGCTGTATTGTTTATGTATTGAAAGATATCTTACCTGAATATATATTATCTCGATACCTGATATTTTGCATACAGTTCATAATTGATACTATACAAAACGGACATTTTGTGCAGTAATCAAATCATTTTAGCGGTATACAGTATTGATAATATTGCTTTGTGTCGATTTACGTGCCACATCGTAGACGTAATATGCACGGTTTATTTACATTATTTACTAGAAATACATGCATGCAGCAACCCCTCGCCATTTTAAAGAAGCAAAATATTTCGTGCGCCACCCAGACTTAACTTTCTACGCTAATATTATGAAATAACTCGTGCAAATTTTTCGGAAACAAAGACAGTCGTAAAGGTGAACAGAAATCACCTGATTGCCTGCTGCATTACGTTGCAGTTTAAGTGAGTGTTAAACTTTTCTATAGCTAAACCTTCAAAACATCAAAACAGCACAAATAATTATATTAACCATACAAGCACTAAACGTCGAATGTTGTTTTTCGATTATTTATTTCATTCAATAATTTTAGCGACTATATAAGCTGCAAAGTGATATTTGTTTTATCAAAACTCTGAAGTACACTTTTGAGAACTCTTTTTAAAGTTTAAGCGATGATGTAAAGCCTTAAACGGTCGGTTAGCTCCTTGTAAAACGACATACCAAGCTCGTACTTGTCAAAAAAACAATGCATTCTTACAGCAAACACTGAACAAGCAAAATATAGACACCTACCACTTCAAAGATTATAAACTACGAGTCGTTCCTATTTCACCAACTGTTTCTGTGCTGTGATGATCTTTAAATCTTTTATTATTGTTTTAATATTTGACTCCATGATTTCATTTAATATTTTTAAAAAATAGTTTGAAAAATGACGGTTAAAATGCTGACGCTATCATGCATGCTCTCTTTTTGTCTTTGCCAATCAGCAAGTCGTAGACGACCGTTCTTTCTTCGTTCAAATTTCGCACATTCGCACAACTACCATGATCATTGAACGTCCATGACATTTTGGCAACTTTGGATTCCGCTATGTTCTTTCGGGTCCCGGGTGTAATTCCTAATCTCCGGGCGGAATTAGTACCCTCGCACGGCGCTCCGCGCCGGCTCGGGGATTACAGCGAAACTATTTTGGCTATTCTTTTGAAATGACGGATAAATTGTTGCCATCATATACATGTAGTTCATGTAGTCACAGTTGTTTCACGAAGAGGGGATACATAGTTTTTCTTGCCGAACGCTGTAATAATAATCTGAGAAAATAGCGCCCGCTTTCCATGAGCAACCAAAATTATATAATAATGACAATATCGCGGCTCACGTACTTTGAGGACAAACATGTGGTTGCTTACATGCATTAGAGGGCATGGAAACTTTGCACTATCCTTGGATCCCTAGTTTATTAAAACAGTCTGACTTATGACTTATTCTTGTAATTTTAAGGTTGGCGATGATTTAGAAAACAATCTCGAACTTAACAACCTTATTGGCCAAATAAAAGTCACGCCGCAGACCGCATTCGATACATTTGCGGACGTAGCAAATAAAATATTCGCTGATGGTGTGTACAACTGGGACGTGGGGTAGTGACATTGCTGTACTTTGGCTTTAAATTGGCATCGTCTGTCATCAGTCAGGTTCCGTTGCTCAAGCTTGTCGTTGATTGGGTCGTTAGATTCGTCAAGGAACGATTGGTCAATTGGATTGCGCAACAAGGGGGATGGGTAAGTTTTATTATCGTTCTTTGCTTACACATTTTTGGTGAAAATCGAGCTTTGGATGCTTGTTTTCAATTTTGTTTCATATCGTGTTTAAATCCTGAATGTTTTTTTTCCCTAAATTTTAACTAATAATGCTCGAACTTCTGGCAGGGCTTTTACTGAGTCTGATGTTTACAAATAAATGATGTAACTAAAGCCGTCACTATGAGCCTTTATATATCTACTAGAAATACATGCATGCAGCAACCCCTCGCCATTTCAAACGAAGCAAAATATTTCCTGAGCTAGCCAGACCTAACCTTCAATGATATGAAATGTCCTAAATGTAAAGCCGATAGCTGATGTTTCAAATTTTTCGGAAACAAATACAGTCGTAAAGGTGAAGTGAAATCACCCGTTTTCCTGCTGCTTTCCGTTGCATTAAGTTATAGACTTTCACAGTTTAAGTGAGAGTTAATACTCCATTATAGCTAAACCTTCAAAACATCAAAACAGCACAAATAATATAAATAACCAAGCAGTGAACGTCGAATGTTGTTTTTCGATTATTAAATTCTTGCAGTGATTGCAGTCGACTCTTTAAAGTGATATTTGTTGTATTAAACCTTTAAAGTGATATTTATTGTATTAAAACTCCAAAATACACTTTTAAGAACTCTTTTTGAAGTTAAAACGATGATGTAAAGCCTTAAATAGTCGGTCACGTCTTCGCAAAACCGAGCAAAACGACACACTGTACCAAGCTCATAAAATGTATTTGTACAGGAAACACGAAAGAAACCTCGAAATAAACAAAATAGACTCCTACCATTTCAAGGATTATAAACCAGTTGTTCCTTTTCACCGCTAATTCTTCCAGTTCTGATAATATTTTAAACTCTTCCCAGTGTTTTATCTATTATTTGATTCCACATTTCATATAGTGTTTTCGAAACATTTTTTTAAAAAAATAGTTTGTTAAAATGACAGTTAAATTCTGACGTTTTTCACTGAAACACGAACGTTTCGTCTTAGCCAATCAGCAAGTTGCTAATTACCAGTCGTCACTCGTTCAAATTTTGCGCGTGCGCACAAGTACCATGACCATTGAACGTCCATGACATTTGGGCGACTTTGGATTCCGCTATGTTCTCCCGGGTTCCGGGTGTAATTCCTAATCTCTGGGCGGAATTAGTACCCTCGCATGGTGCTCCGCACCGGCTCGGGGACAATCGGTGACAAAATTGGGGTTTCGTCGTTGCCTTAGGCTGTGGAATTTCTGGCCTTTCAGAGCAAGTGCTGCCCTATTCAACGAAAATCTAGCTGAAAGCTTAGTACTGCATGTACGAGTATCTTCCGACCTAGGCTCATTGAACATTATCGACCGTAGAACAACGTGGGGAGACTGTTGGATTGTTGGATTTACAAGCTACAGTGGGACAACATTAATGACTTTATCTTTCAGAACATTATTCTTTAACGTACTCCCAACATAGTTCATTGTTATGCGGTCTTTTAATTCACACGATCCAATTTTGTCGGATCCTATTCACTTCTGTCGTCGATGGTTATAAAACAACAATAGACTATAAAACATCCATCAGAAGTGAAATGGATCTACATACGACGTCAGCTTAACGAAGTTTCACGGTTATCCTCGTTGTTTACGATCGATTACATACTTTCACGTCCTGTATCAGCAACGAGATGCTGCGCAATTATTCAACATGACACCTTGCATTGGTGTATTGTAGTTTTACATTGTTGTCAATTATGTGCATATAGTCTTAGTCTTAGGTGGCGTCTTGCATGTAGCTTCTTCCATCATATCATTGCTTTGTGCCTTGTAAAATAAGCTATAGCCGTGGAGTACAACTTACTACAATTACTATATGAAATTAAAACGATTCATAATTGAGGCACTGAATAGGGAGATTACGTTTAAGATCGCAACAACAGCGAAAATGGTCCGTTCTGGATATATAAGCAGTCCTTAATCCTGATTTCATTGCTTTTATTTCAATTAGCTCATATAGATACTGTAGGTTCCTAAAATAATAAATCTATCAAATAAATAGTAGAAAATTCTGTCGTGGAATAATCCTGTCAAGTAGCAGTCAATATTTTTGACAGTGTGCTGATTTGTGTGTTATTATATACCTAGAGAGCCATCACAGACCATGTCATGGAAACAGCACGACAAGCGTCCACGTATCAAGTAGTTGGTGTTGCTCTTGCTGGCATTGCAGTTTTCATGATGGTCCTTGGTCGAAAGTGATGCGATTGCTTCTAATAATGTGGTAGTAAACGACCACGGACTAGGTTTCCGCAAGTGATCGTTGTGATCAAATCTACTTTCAATTTACTTAACATTGATATGAACCGAGTCGAACATGATGCATGAGTGCGTGCAATAATTTAACTGCAGCCCGCTTTCACTAAGCGATTGAAATACTACTTCATGAAACTGTAGCTGTCAGTATCTTCATTGTTGTCAATTTGAATTCAACTTTTTGAAAATTATTAATTTTTATTCACAACTCCTTCACATAGTGCACTGTCTGTTGTTCACATTACCATAACATCGTTTTTTTGCTGCCGAAATTTTATAAGAAGAATGGTGGGTAGGGACCCAGCCTGATCGTGGGTAGAATTATTCTCCTTACTTATTAGCTGCTTATAGCAACAACGCTTTCCATTTTGATTGTTTAAACTCTAGTAATTACTCATAATTATATAACAATTTATGAGCTGGAGATTCGTTAATTGATAAGGGAGAAGGCGGAATGAATTATCACTATCAACTAACATTATCAACAATGAACTAACATTATCAACTGAGATATACAACTGGGACGAACATCCCTCAATTAGTGAAATTGGAAAGTTTGGTGGCGAAATATTGTAAAGTATTAAAAATATCAGCGTGTGAAGTTGACAAATTTGGTATAAATTAGTTTTACGTTCGAAAAAGCGTTGCCACTTTTCGAAGTTCGAAAAGTTTGCAAACTCACGCGACGATATTTCTGGTATTTTCAACACTAATTTTGGAATGCTCTTTCCAGCTGTATACCTCAGAACCGACGAATTTTCCTTGTTGGAGATTTACTAAAAAATCTCGTTTAATTTTTAAATTCTACTACGTCGTCAGCTAGGGTCGTGTCAGAGTTGTACGAGATTTCACAGTGAACAATGAAGTCACTGTCAGGTTTTTTGTTAGAAAATAACAAACACAACATAATGAATACGCAACCCTTATTATACAGGGTGTCCCAAAAAAAACGAAAACTATTGAAATCACCCATAACAATGCAATTGTTAGAGTTTGAATGCTTAAGCACTCTGTTGGGACCCACAAGTGTATAAATGTTTACCATACTCATTTTTATGCATGCATATGATGCAGTAAAGTTTTCTGGTTCGCAAAAATGGTATTTATTAACAATATTTACAATTTACAAATATGAATAACAATATTTAAATGTGCATCTCAAGGACCATGACCTTCAACATGTTCCCTTTCTCTAGCAACACAAAGCATTTAGCATTTTAAACTTGCATTAAATCCCCACGGACTGAAATTCGTACACACGGCATTCAAATTTTAACAATGAGCGATTTCAATAGTTTTCGGTTTTTTTGGGACACCCTTTATATAAGTCTATTCAACTATATTTATAATACAAAGGTGTCTTAATTATTTGTACTTGAATTTGGAATGGCAGATTACACCCACTTGCCAAAAAGTTAACTGAAAATATGTCATGTAACAGGCAACAACTCACCACAATAGGTGTGAATATTTACAATTGGTCTGAATAATCACAATAGGTGTGAATATTTACAATTGATGTGAATATTTACAATTGGTGAGAATAATCACAATAGGTGTGCATGTTTACAATTGGTATGAATATTTACAATTGGTGTGAATATTTACAATCGGTGTGAATAATCACAATAGTCATTTATCAATTAGTTAAATTAGGCCGTGTTTACCATTAGTTTCTTTCTAAAATAATGAAAAACATTATTCACGTCCCAAATACATTTCTATCGCGGGAAGGAAGGTCTCGGTTCGAAAATACCCTCCATGAACCGTTTTACCAGAGGGTGTTGACCAAAGGGGATCGTATTGTTTGTTTGACTAAGTGTAGACAGGCACTGCGTGCCTGCACAGAAGGCACTGCGTGCAAAATTGATAGCGGAGTAAGACAAACCGGAATGATAGAGATCTGTGGGAAAGTCCACAATTTTAGTGGTCGGACGGTCAAAAAATTCACAACTTGAAGTACTACAAAATTGGCTCCATTTGTTTATGAATGTTTGGTATTGAGACTTGGTCCCTTTCCTCCAAGATGCCATACCGATTTCAGTGGATTTTTGTGACATACCTATTGTGGTGAGTTGTTGCCAGATACTTGACATATTTTCAGTTCTAACTTTTTGCAAGGGGTGTGATTCTGCTGGGGCAGCTGGAAGCTGCTGCAAGTTGAATGAGTGTCCATGATTGTCGGCGAATCAGAGGGGGTTGTATTAGAAGTGGTACAATGAGTGGATACCAGGGTTGACCAGTTGGCCAGTTTGGAATTACCAGGATGCGTGGCTTTTTCCTCTATGGGGCAATGGTTTGACGGAAGCCATGGTGACCAGTGATGGTGACCATGGTGACTAGTTGACTAGCACCCAGGTCTCTGCGCTGTGAAATTCAATATGGCCGCCAAAATTGAAATTTGATTGTGAAAATTAGGCTTTAGTCTCTGTTACTTTCTTGGCGATCATGAGTTCCAAAACAACGGATGAACAAATGGTTCCCAGTCAAATTACGTACATGGGTGAAGAATGGTCTTTAGTTAGGTCATGTGGTCAAGGTACATTTTCAAAATGCTTTCAAATCCTTAACAAAAGAGGACAAAATCTAGCACTAAAAATTTACAAACCATGCAAGAGATTTGAATTCGCGTTTCAAAATGAAGTCGAAATATTATCGCTATGCAAGTCATACCAAAAATCAAATTTGTCGTCCTATATTGTGAGCTACGTTGATAGCTTCATTTCATCCGGACGAAGGTGCATCCTCATGGATCTCCTAGGCTGTAGTTTGAAAGACCTACTAATCAAGCACCAGTCAACAAGATTCTCATTATTTCTGGTCAAGAAAATTATTCATGATTTGCTCTCTGGTGCTATGTTTTTAGAGGAAATGGGTATAGTACATGGTGATATTAAACCAAGTAATATTTTGTGGAATATGAACACAGAATGTTTTCAGTTGATTGACTTTAGTGTCAGCTTCAAATTAAGGCTCTCAAATAGAGTTCAACAACCTTTGCAAAGTATGGGGTATCAGGCACCAGAAGTTGTAGAGTGGAACAAGGTGATGAAAGGTATGTACTTTATTGTTGTACTAGGTTGATTTCAACTTAGTGCTGGGCAATGATGTCCACATTTGTTTCCTCCATGCTCAAAAACAAGGGTTTTTGCAATGCAAGGAAATTTGCTTGCAATCAGCAACCACAAGGGAGGCAGGGATTTGTGTTGATAGGATATATTATGCAGTAATTATTTTCAAAAATTTTTCCTTTCCCTTTTTTGTCCATACTATAATGCCCCGTATGAGGACAACCATATGAAAATAAGTTGTAGAAACCCTGCATGTGAATGTGAATTTTCATTGCAAGCCTCCATGTAGCCCTATACTTTTTTATCGGAGGTAGTATGTGCAGAAAATGGCATATGAATACTTAAAGTAGAACTTCTGTACATAGAAGTACCCAGACTGGAATGCTACCAAGACCATCAGCTTCCTTGCCAGCAACTTATCATCTTAAAATAAGTTTAAATAAAGTACTTATACACTGTACCATTATGGATAAGTGTATTACAAAAAAAACTAGCAAATGCCAATGGTAGAATCTGTTTTATGATATTTAATCATGCCATAAAGTATCAAACTTGTTCTGCCTCAACATGGTTAATAGAAATGGTCTGTAGTTATAGTTATTTTCTCTCAGTGTTTAAAGTTCAGTGTTTATAAGTTTATGCAAATCGGGTCATAGCTGCACAAGTTAATAAATGCTTAAGAGCGATTAAGAAATATATTGTGAGTACTACAATAAAAATGCTTTTGATATTTCAGGTGCTACTGTCAGCAATGAGCAGGATCTTGATTCGTCAGTGGATATTTGGTCTATTGGATGTGTGCTTGTTTATGTTACCACTGGTCAACCTTTATATAGTAATGAACATGCATCTCAACTTCCTAGATTATGCAAAAATTGTGAATTAAAATGTTCTCCATGTGTCCATGCATTAAAATCAGCAGAAATTATAACATCGGTAAGAAATGAACTTCCTGTTCACGAAAGGAATATTTTAACACATATCATTTCTGGATTTTTACAATGCCACTCTTACAATCGTTTATCTCCAGCCTACGTTCTCAATCATTCTTTTTTGTTGACAAGCCCCTCTCCAGATGCAAGCATAACAGACTTGCTATTACTTCCAACAAGTGTTCTCCGTTTTCTGAATATGTTTAATGAAACAAAATCCGAAGTCATTGAAGATATTTTATTGGATATCCGTGAAGAATGTGAGCGATTTGGTGAAGTTGTGTTAGTAAAAACAAGCAAAGTGAATAGCGATGGATATAATGTTTATGTTGAATATCAAAAGGCTGAGGATTGCTGTGAAGCGCAACATTTATTGACAGGAAGATATTTTGATGATAAATTTGTCGTTGCCACTTTCCTTCCATTGCAACACTTAAGGGAGAATCGTTTCTATTAGAGAAATTATTTGTAAGATGTTTAAGCCTGTGATGGAAGACATTATTGACTGTTGTGTGAATATTGCCCAGAAATATTAAAGCAGAAGCACACATTTTAGAGTGTGGGGAGGTGTGACACCCCCACCCCATCTTTTACCAAATATGTCTTAAAAGTCGGTCTCAAAATGTGTATGGGGCATCAAAAAGACGGTCTGACTAAAATTTGAAATACGGTAACGTTTTGTATGGAAAACGGCGAACAGATGTGTCTTTTGTTTTGAGAATGGAAATTACATAAAACAACGAAAATTGTTTACAACTGTTTAGGTCAAACATAGATATTAATCATGTCATACTAGCACCGAAAAATAAACTTTCGTGCCGCAACAGTCAATCACAACTATCAGATTACACCTAGTCATCAAGGCAGCCTTGGAAATATTTAGTTCTCTTTCAAAAAATGTTTTGGGTTATTTATAGTTCAGGTAATGCAATAATTTATATATATTCGATATTGCAAAAATCTCACCCATAAAACGCGGGGAATCGCATTTTCTGCACTCTAAAATTTCAAAATTTTCTTGCGGGAGGACGCCCCTAACTTCCCTAACAGTGCTCTATAACAAGGGGAAATTTCGTTTTAGACCAATCTGCAAGTTTTTTGACATTTTCAGTAACCCAATCAGAATGCATAAATTTTTATAAAAAGTAGAATATTTATAATTTTATATGAAGTATTATAAATTTAGGCGTTCTGATTGGCTTTGCCTACACGTAAAAGTTGCGCAAGTTGTTAAAAACAGGAGCTAGTGAATAATGTTGTGCTGCACCCTGTGAACAGTATTGTTAACAATGTTGTTGCAACTTGTTACAACAACATTGCATCGTGATTGCAACAAGATTGATGATTCAACAAGGTTCAACAACATTGTTAACAATACTGTTCCCCGTCAGGATGTCCCATAGCCTAGGTGTCTTAGATATTAATGTATAATATCTATTCGGGATCGCCTTTTCATGTAAAAGCGGACTTGCCAGTTCAACGTGTTTATGTCAGGATGTAAACACTTCTGGACCCTGAAAAATTTCTTACTTCGGCAAAGCATTTGGAATAAAACACAAAGTAATTTTGGACAAATTACCATGCAATATTTACGAAGCAACATTAACCCCCACTGATCATGGATAAACATTGTTAATTAGACTCTACGCATGTTGAACCATATGGTTGATAATTCATAATCAATGTTAATGATTAATATATATTAATTATTATGGCAGGCGCAATTGTCGCACACTAGGGAGAAAAGCATTTTAATTAAAACATTGCCACCGATGTGCGAATTTCATGACTGGACCCTTCGAATTCAAAGTTTCCTACTTTGGCAGGGGCCGGTTGTATTAAGCCCGTTTAGCTTAAACGGTGGATAAGTCAGAATTAAATTACACTCTTACAACTCTCTTGAATGAGTCAACGTGAATGTTATGCACTGAATATGTAGTTGTAAACAGTATCTTTGTATTAAGATAAAAAACATTTAGTTCGCTTGTTAAATAAAACCATAGACTTGCTTTCTTTTTTGAACTTATCCACCGTTTAAGCTAAACGGGCTTGATAGAACCGGCCCCAGATGAATAAATAGAATAGGCAATGGAATTAAGCCGATATATATCGAAATACCAACCTCATCTAGCATAAAGGTCAAATCAGTTATGGTACTATAGCGCGTGCTTTGGTTCGAAAACTTTTTTACGTGCATTCGTAAAAAGAGAGGGAGGGGAGTTCTAACGCTGCGCGGTCATGGTTATGTCATGAGTATGCTTTGCATGGCTGGTTAATAATCCAAATACAAGAAGGTAATTTTTAATTACTTAATTACTTACAATTTTAGACATTGACGAATGTTTGTATGTATCTGCCAAAGTATGTCACACAAATGCAAGTTGTATTAATACGAATGGTTCATACAACTGCACGTGTCTCACTGGGTATTCAGGAAACGGAAAGAATTGTTCTGGTAAAAAATTGGGTTAGCAGCAATTGATGAACTTTTCATGGTTAAGATATATGCTTGTACTTTCTGAAATATTTACAATTTTAGACATTAACGAATGTTCAAATGTATCTGCCAAAGTAAAGTCACACAAATGCAAGTGGCAACACTACGAATTAATGGTTCATACAACTGCACGTGTCTCTCTGGATATTCAGGAAACGGAACGAACTGCACAGGTAAACAATCGGCGTTTTTTGGCGACCATGCATTATTGATATATGTCAAGCTTTTTATCGTTTATATTTGCGTTTCTGACTAACTCACAATTTTAGACATGGACGAATGTTCTAATGTATCAGCTAGTGTGACGAAAACGAAATATGTACAAACAATTGTTCGTTCAGCTGCACCTGTTCATTTTGATATGCAGGAAGAAAGAACTACACAGGTTTTGCTAAATGAGATTTCATACTCCCAACTAGCTTGAGCTTGCTGCAGTCTCACAAAATTATAGTAACAAAAATAAATGAAAATAATAGAAAGAAAAAATGGTTCCTTATAATTATTCATTATTCTAGACAATCACGGATGTTCCAAGTTCCAATGCATGTTGCAATGAGTGTCACACAAATGCGAATTGTATGATATAATACGAATGGTACCACTGCACCTGCCTTACACAGCCAAAAACGCCACAGACTTGTCGCAAGATGCGTTCGCACGGCTTGCTCCAATTTGTTCACAAGTTGTAGCAAACCTGTTCACAAGTTGCTGCAGCCCTGAAAAGATCAAGTTGCAGCAAGCTTGTGAAAATCAGGCCTGTTTGAAGTTGTGAATTGCGAACTTGCTGCAAGTTGTTAAAACAACTTGAAACAAGCTGATAACAACTTGCAGCAAGTCTGTTGATAACAACTTGCAGCAAATCTGTTGACAAGTTGTAGCAGGCTTGTGGGCAAATTGGGTCAAGTCTGCAGTTGACAACTTGCATCAAATCTGATAATATACCGACTTGTAGCAAGTTGTCGACAACTTGTAACAGACTTGTTCACAACAAGTTGGCGCAAGCTATGCGAGCGCATCTGATATGAACTTGATGGAACAAATCGCATCAAGTCTGCAGCAGACTTGTTACTACTTGCACGTTTTTGGCTGTGTACTGGATATGAAGGAAATGGGAAGAATTACACAGGTAGCTATCTGACACTATAAACGCCTGTGAAATTGCATCATGGTTGAAAATTCTGTATTATATTGAAAACATTGATATGTCAAATAGTCTTTACCGCCGTGGAAGCTATCAAGTGCAGTGGGGGGGAGAAGGGGTACAAGCAGCAGTTTTAATGGATATCAAGAAAGTATGTTTGTTCGAAAAATTATCAAAACGACACGAAAGATGCTACCTAAATTTTCGGTCTGAGATGACACAAAATGCCTTTTGAATATCTTACATCTTCAGTCGGGTACGTACCCAAAAACATGCGGTGAGCTTTTGTTATACCTACCCAGACACATGTACGTGTTTCATCTGTTAGGGGCTGTTTACATGAGCTCGGTTACCCGAGATTCAACAAAGCGTGAGGAGAATTTGAGGTATTGAAATAAATCTTTATGACACGAAACAAGCACATGCTATTGACAGCATTGTTGTGGGGATTATACGACTGTCAGGATCATGTTATCTGCTCATTTCAATATTTCAAAATCATCTCATGCTTCGTTGAATCTCGGGTAACCGGGCTCATGTAACTGTATGGTCAAACGCGCATAGACTTATCTCCACAAATAAAAGTAACAAAATTAATTATCAAAACATGAATTCTTCTAACGAATAAATTTGTTTTGTATTTTTCTGTTTAATAAAGGTTGTAAGCAGAATGTTAAGAAATATTTGTATTATTTTTACCGGCAGCTTACTTTGTTCCGAATGCAAAAGCTGCGCCTATAGATCTCGAAAACGGTAAATTTTTTTACTCTAAGCTATATATCTTTTAAACCATTCTGCTGAAGATGAATCGATCTTGATTCGAAATATACAGAATAAATTTTGTATTATGCTATCATTTTTCGGAATAACTTAAATTCTATATGTGCTAAAACTATCAGCTGGTAAAGGATTATATATCTTTTATTTTTATTTTGATTGCATTGTAAATGGGCCTACGTTTGGTGGTGGTTATATCACTTGTTCACTTCCAATGATGACAGAAGAGTAGTTTTATATATCTTCTACCTATACTTTTAAAAACCACTAAACCAGTCATTTTAGCCTTTTCTTCAAAAAATGATTTTCACCTGTCGAATGATTTTTTAACGTTATTCACTTTGCAAAACATGTTAATAACTAATATTATTTATCCAATATATCAAATCGCACGTCTTTAATATTTGCCAAAATATTAGTATTAATACCAATATACCAAGGAAACCAAGGAAAAATTTTTGTTTTGTGGAAAATCAGTGGTGATTGCCGGCCTTTATTCTTTATTCTTCCACAAGCACTTTTTATAACATATGTCCCGTTTTTGAAGTATTGCAGCACGGGCCTTAATTAAAAACTGTGACATGAATTATTCAATTAACTCTTGCGTTTTCTATTAGCTAGCACAAAGTCGTCCGCCCCTACCTATTAGTTTAACTGCGTGTTATGTTTATAGTAATTAAGAAAAATTTTTATTAAATGCAGCTTATCTCATATCTTACGATCCATTCCTATTTGGCTTCATTCCATGCCATGCATTCAGTTCGGTGAAAAATATTAATATTGAGTAAGAAATTTGAATGATGTATCTATCAGCAACTTTTGTCTTGTTTTTGCTTGATATTGGAAACATTTTCGCAAACCGATGTTCCCCGAAAAATTACAACATAATCATAAGAGGTGAGTCAACTTCGGATGTGACAATGTGGTACGTTTCCTCAGCGTAAAATATCGTATTACTCCGTTTTATATACTTCATGCATGTGATAGGCTTAGTTTGCAATCATACGCTTTTTTGATAGGAACTTTTTTTGCAAATTTTGCTTAATAAGTTGAATTTTTAGATGGTCCATCATTGCCCGCTGATGAGATAATATCAAGACACAATATTACATCTTTACATGTCATGTTGGGATGTCACACTCACTGCCAAGACGAAGAAAAATGTGTTGGATTCAACTACAGAAAAACAAAGAATGTCGAAAATTGTCAACTGACAAACGTTACTAAAGAGAGAGAAAAAACCAACACAGGAGATTGGATGCTGATGCTTGATGTTGAAGCGGTAGGATAATGTTATGATGTTCGATATTGCAACGGCAATAAATAGGCCGAATGATTGCGTAGGTATACAAATTACGAATAATATAATAATTATACACGGGCACTGGCGGAACTTACAACTTATTGAACATCATCGATAGGATAGATTTGGCCGTTTCTTCACAATCACCTATTGATTCAAATTTGTACATTGGGAAAATGCATAAATGGTTTTTCTTTTGCTAATTTATAGTTGTAAATTTATCTGGAATTGACCAGGCGACACAGTTGTCGTTCTCATTCACGATTCTATAGCCAACTAAGCAATATAGAAATGGACAAAAAATAAGTGCAGTAAGGAAAATCCATCCTACCAAATATTCACGGGGTAAAATAAAAGAGAAACCAACTTTATAGTAACTGAAATTATCTCCTAAATACCCGGTACCATATATCCATTAGGTTAAGGTTATACCTACCCAGTATTTGTTTGTCATAACAGAATAATTTTTTGCACTATGGATATCAATATCACTTTTTTGGCTGTTTCCAATAATAGTATTATCGCTTTTCAAGCATTTGGAACGGTTGAAAAATCACTATCCGGTGGATAGCGCTATTCGGCTTCATGCAACCGTCCCCGGTCAATTTATTGGCACGGCACGGCTAAAATAGGTACCCGTGTCAATTTAATTAGTGTTCAGGCTAGCAAACCAAATGCTACGCACGCGAACATTAATTTTAGCCAATAAATTGACGCAGTGAAAACGGGGTGAAAAATGTTTGAAGGATTGAAGTAAGATGCCCATAAAAATTTGCCATAGTTGCCATATACTAAAATACTATCGTATATTACCGTATTATATTGACTATATCATTATTGTTAAAAGGGTGTACGGTAATCTAGACCGTGTATAGTAATCTAGGCCTATTTCTTTTAGAAAAAAAATGAAGAAGAAAAGGGAAAAACTGTCGACGGAAATTCTGGTATTGCTTTCAAAAATTATTACTGATATAGTGCTAGAAATTGATGTAATTTATAATCCATAGCCCGTATTTGTAATATGCATGTCAATTTGGGCCAGGAAACAGTATTTTCTTTCTATAATTTAGACGTTGCCGAATGTCCCATTCAATCTTCCATTTTTTGTCATAAAAATGCAATATGCGCCAACATCAACGGTTCACACAACTGCAGCTGCCTCCCTGGGTATGCAGGAGATGGAAAAAATTGTGCTGGTATATATATTAGCATTTTTTTGTTAAAATTGGAAAAATAACAAAGTACATAAATCATATTATTAGATGGACATGGGCATGTTGTACCGGAAACTAAAACTTAAGGCTAGTTTCCACTCAGGAAAATTCTACTTCGCATCGGACAGGACAGGAAAGTTTCCTTTGTATAAACGCCGCCTGAGAACTCACCGACAAAGGAAATTTTTCTGTTCGTTCCGATCCAAATGAGATTTTTTCTGAGTGTAAATTAGCCTTTACACACTTTTATTTTCCACGATTCACTAGTGAAATTTTGTGTAATGCGCGTGTTTCCTAGGGCGACCGTCGCGAGTTTTTCCGCTTTGTTTTATTCTTGCCAATTCTTGCCAACAATGGCGGCCCGAGTTTTTTGTGTTTCCTCTTTTTACATGATCAAGAGGATGTGAATCATGTGATATTTCAAAGAATTTCCTGAAAGCAGAAAATCTTTCTAAAATATAAATGTATTGTATTTTAACAATCACAGTAAACATCTAATGCTTTTCAATGATTGTATCTCCCCTATTTTGAAATTCAGTTTTCACAGTATAGCAACGGAAGCATGTATTAATTATATATGAGGAAACTCGCGATGGAACAACGAAATCAACCTTCTACGCTAAAGAAGGATTATGACTGGACATAATTATTTTTCCGAATTCATTCATTATTTTAGACATTCACGAATATTATTTTAGGGCTACAGCCCCGGTTCCGACGGGCCTGCTAATAATCGATCCTTCAATATTGTATATTATAGCCAATGAATTGGGTTCAGTCATAATGGCCGCCGAGTCACCAGAATTTACAAAAACTTTGGCAGAATGGCTGCCGGTGACAGGGAATTGGAGTGTTTGTTGGCGGGCGACAAGAGACGAGAGTAAAAGTGAAA